CTCGAGGCTTCAGTCAGCGGCGAATCGCACACAAGAGACTCTATAGAGCTGAAGCCACACGAATAATCCAGCGAAATTTTCAGGTTTATCTTAACCTGTGCGATAACCCGTGGTGGCAGTTGCTAGCCAAGATGAAACCTTTACTCGGCGCCACTCGTACTTCTGGTGAGGTGAAGAAACGAGACGAGATGATTCAGAAACTCGGAGAGAGAATCAAGCAAGAAGCGGCCGATCGCCAAAGGATAGAGGATGAACGGCGCAACGCCCATGCGGAGATGCAACGAATACAGACGACCTTAGAGAGCGAGCGCTCACTCGCATTGGATAAGGAAGAAATCTTCAAGCGGTTACAGATGCGTGAGGTTGAGCTTAGTGACAAACTGGCTGGCGCAATCGACGACCAGGAGAAATTAGAAGATCACCTTGACGAGCTCTTGGATGCCAAGAAAAAGGCCGAAGAGCAGTCTGAAGACTTACGAGCGCAGTTATCACATGCCGGAACGATAATTTATAATCTTGAAGCCGAAAAACAGAATCTTATTCAAAAACTGGCAGACATGGATTCCAAATTTGAGGAGCTCTCTCAGGCTCAATTACAGAGATCATCGGCTGAGGCTGAACTATCCCAAGAAGTCCAAATGCTTCAAAGCCAGCTGAGCCTGAAAGATCGTAAGGCGCAGGAATTGGAGAAGAAACTTCTTAAAATCGACCAAGACCTCGACGTTAAACTAGCACGTACAACCAAGGATCTGCAAGCATCGCGCTCGCGAGAGCAAGCGCTCGCTGACGAGACCAGAAAAGCTCAGCAGCAATTGGCAGAATTGGCATCCACTTCGACAGGCTACGAAGACCTTGTTAGGCGCAAAGAGAGCGAGTTGGCAATTCTACGGTCGGATAACAAGAAATACGAGACCAGCCAGGCTTCTTTCGAGGACGAAAAGAAATCTCTGCTTGATAGCAAGAACGTTATTGCTGCGAGGGTACGTGAGGTCCAGGCTGAAATGGTAGCGATGAAGACACAGAAATCTCAGCTCGAACGCGAAGTAGCCGATGCGAAGAAATTGCTCGAGGCCAGGCTTACGGAAGATGCAGAAGCTGGTCAGAGTCGAAAGCTACTCGAGACTCAAATAAAAGACCTCAAAGATCAACTCTTTGCTGTCCAGACTGATCTCAGCAGAGAGCGTCAATCAAGAGACGACGTGCAATTGCTTGGGGAACATAAATTCCAGAAACTCAAGGAGGAATACCAGGTACTAAACGAAGCCAAGATCACCATTGAGAAAGAGCTTTATGTGCAGCAGGATACTCTGAGGCGAGCCACGGAAGGTCGCGCCGCCGCAGAGAAAGAAAGAAACGAAGCAAGAAACGAGATTCGGAGACTTAGGGAAGCCAAATCCGCAATGGAAGAACTAAAAATTCAGGCGGAACTTGCTGGTGAGCGCAACGCTTCAAGAGTGGCTAGGGAGCGTGAAGCAGGTTTAATGAGAGACCTCGAAGCCGAACAAAGCCGCCTTAAATGGTTTGAAGCCGAATGCACGAAGCTGAGCCAGCAAGTTGACGAGCTCAATAAAATGATCCTCGAATCTGGAAATTTCGGCCTTCAAGTCGATCAACAGAAAGAGCGCCTCGAAAGCGAACTGAACACAGTTAAGAGCAGATTGATGGCTTCCGAGAACGACAATCGTGCACTTCTCAACAAGATTCAACAGAAAGGCCTCGAGCTGGCTCGTGCTGGTTCTCAAGCTAGCGAGTCTCAACGAGGAAAAGTAATAGCCTTACAGCGTGAGAAAGCCAGAAACGAAGAGCAGAACATGAAGCTGTTGAAGCAACTCGAAGAGGTTCAGATGCTTGCAGCTTCCGCCCAGAAAAAGAATGAGAAGCTTCAATTAACAGTAGAGGATCTCAACCACGAAGTTTCTCGTGAACACAAAGCAAGTCGGAATGCCGAGATGAATTCGTCCACTACTACAACACAGCTAGCCGAGGCTAAGAGGAAGATCGAAAAAGAAGAGCAACTGCGCACACAATCCCAGGAATTAGTGAAGAAATTGCAATCAAGCCTGGATGGCCGCGACAGAGAGCTTGAAGAACTCCGGGCTCAGAGATTGCAACTCCTCAAGGTTGTCGATCCTGAGGTATCTGCCCAAGTTCCACACGGAGATGGAGCGGCTGATACGTCAATTCTCGAGAAATACGACCTTGTTCGTAAAGTCCAGGACTTACAACAAAACCTGCGAATACAGATGGCTGGCCGATCTAATGCTGAATCTCAACTCTCGGACTTGCGCAAAAAGTATGAAGCCGATATAGAATCGGTTGAGAGGCCTCGCGCCATGCTTGAAGAGATCCACCCAAATCAATTACCATTCCAATCACCAACTCATGCGCGTACGAAGGCGAATGGCAGGGTGCATTCCAATGTTTCAACGCCAACTCGCCGAGTAGCCACCAATGACGCCGATCCTACCTTGGACTCAGGCCGCTCCGATAGAACTGCTGATCTGTTAAGTTTTAACAATCGCATGGATCTCAAGACTGAGTTAGAAGAGCTGCAAAATCAACTCCAGCTAACGCAGATGCAAAATCGTCACCTTCAAAGCCAGATTGAACGCTCTACTCCGTCCCGAGACTTGTGGCAGGATGACAGCCCTTCGTTGAGACGAGTGCACAAACTTGAAAAGGCAAATACTAGGTTACACGATATGCTCGACGACTCCGCGAAAAAGGTTTCGCAATTAGAGAGAAGTGTGCAATCGGGTGCTCTGTCTCTCCGCGATGTTCAGACAAGGTCTCACGAGGAGCTCTATGAATTGATCAGTAATCAAGAGGACGCTAGACGATCACTGGTTCATTTGAATGACGATGCTGCGGCTGAGCTTTCTGATATCAAAGACCATTTTGATGGCTTGAAACACGCCAGGGCGACATTGGAAGTTGAGCTTAGGGATGCCAAATCCGACCTTGAAGAGATGGCCCGCGCTAGGGATCAGGACGTCACGAGCCGAAATCAACTATTACAAGAATTTGCTGATCTCCAAATCCAATTCGACGCTGAGTCTTCCAAGGTAGCGGAAGTCTCTTCTAGTCTTGCCCTTTATAAGGGTCGGGCGGATGAGTACTTCAACAAGCTTGAACAGGCTGAAATTGCCGTCCTTAAGGCATCTAGAGCCGAACAATTTGCTAGGTCCCAGGCAAGAGAGGCTGAGGAAACTTGTGCAACTATCATGTCTGAAAGGAAGCAGATGGAGGGTTCTATCGAAGACCTACAGCGACAAAACCAGGGTTATGAAGAGAGACTGGAGGATCTCTCGGCCGATCTGGAGGGGGCTATCCAAGCTAGAAAGCGCCTCCAGCACGAGCTTGAAGATTACCGTAGTCAGCGTGCAATGGACATAGAGGACAAAGAGACAAGCATGGAGCAGACACGCAAGAAGTACCAGGCTGAGTTTGCGACTTTGACAAACGAACTGGATATTGCCCGTGAGGAGAGGCTGTTTAAACAATCTGAGAATACAAGACTACGAGAAGAACTTGATGATCTTAGATCCAAGTGGGATGATGAAGTGCTCAACAGTTCCACATGGTCAAAAGAGAAGGCTCGTCTCGAAGTCACTCTGGCAGATTTGGTCTCCTCTCGAGATGAAGCCTCCAATGCTCACAATGATGCCCAAGGAAAAATTGTATCCCTCCTTTCACAGGTTCGCAGCCTGAGAACTTCAGTTGACGACGTTGCTGCTGAGCGCGATGCGCTTCAGCGCGAAAAGCGCGGCCTCGAAGCGCGTCTAGAGGAAGCCAAGAACGGCTTTGAAGGTCTCGTTCGTGGAGACAGCCCATCACTTCGCAACGCTGCCGGTCTCGACAAGGAGCTTCTTGGGCTGAAATCGAGCTTGGCTCAAAGCGAAGACATTGCTGCTGCAGCTGTAGAGAAAATGAGGCGTGCCGAGGCTCTGACATCCGAGATGCAGAAAGATATTGTTGCTGAACGCGAAACTACCGTTCAACTTCATAAAGAGAAGGCTGCTCTCGAAAAGTCGTTGAAAGATGTGCAAGTTCGGTTGGTGGATCTAGAAACCAAAGGCTATTCCAGCGCCAGCCAAGATGTTAGATTCCTCCATGGCCGGGTACAAGAGGTATGTATTTCTTCATTATCGTCAAGTGAGACTATAGCTAACACCGCCCAGCTTGAGAGTCAACTTGAAGCGCAAGAATCCGAGCGATCTAAGTCCCAGCGTGATGTCCGCAACGTCGACCGCACCGTCAAAGACCTTCAGCAACAGATTGAGAGGCGTGAGAGAGCCAACAGCCAACTCCAAGATGATATAAACCGCAGCCGCGAAAAGGCCGAAAAGTTACTCAAAACGATCGACGAGCTCCAAGCCAGCGACAGCAGTAATCAACTCAGTGCTCGAAGGGCCGAGAGAGAGCTCCGCGAAGAGAAAGAGAAGGCCCTCCGACTTGAGCGAGAACTTGGTGCTTGGAAGGCGCTACGCATGGAGAAGGGGGCGACTATCTCCGGGGGAACCGTCAGGCGGTCCGGGCAGTGGGCGAGAGGAGGTATGAGTAGTGAGTGGGATGACGAGAATACAAGCATTCTCGGAGATGAGGATGGGATCGTGATTCCCAAGAGGAAGGGGTCGCAGAGCAGGCAGACAAGTATGAGCAAGGGGTTCTTGTAGACCAGGGAGAATGGAGTACTTATAATGATTGATTATTTTTGCAGGCTTCTTTCTACAAGCCGGGGTGGGGGGATGGGAACGGTGGGGCCTGGGTCAGGCGGTGTCTGATGCGTCGATACGGGTCGTATAGAATGTATCACGGCGGCGGGGTCTGATTTGGAGTCTGGATTGCTTATGTTGTCTTTGAATAAATATTATTATTGCTATTGAAAGCTAGTGTAGTAAGTGATTTATACCTGCTTAGATTCCAAATAATGTCCCCAAAACCTTTGGGTTGTACCCGTCCGTGTATCCCTGTTCCAACAAGGCACCAGGGTCCGATGACACACGGCCTCGCTTGGGATCTTCCAGGCAGTATATGAGAATTTGACGACCTTCATCTTTTCGAAGTTCGACAACACGACGCATTTCAAGTGAATATACTAAGATCTACCAAAATGAAGTACATACTGGTATCAGGAGGTAATCAGGCGGAATTCCTTGCCTCTCATAGAAGTTTCAAACCCAAGTGTAGGCGTGGTGAGCGGCGTTGGGAAGGGTTTAATCGGTAGGCATCCTCTGAAGAACTGCCTGGCTCATAAACTTACTTATCGTACCCAAAGCATCCAGTACCGGGCTGCTCCTCAAAACCAAGGGTCTAAGCGTGACAATGATCAAAATCGACCCCTACATAAACGTCGATGCAGGAACCATGGCGCCCAGGGAGCATGGAGAAGTCTTCGTGCTTGATGATGGCGGGGAGGTCGATCTCGACTTAGGCAACTATGAGCGCTATCTGAACATCACGCTGACTCGGGAGCATAACATCACTACTGGGAAAATATACCAGCATGTCATTGAAGCTGAACGCCGGGGCGTGTATTTGGGCAAAACGGTCCAGATCGCCCCGCATCTTGTCGACGCGATTGCGGACTGGATAGAGCGCGTGGCGCAGATACCTGTCGACGATACGAAGGAAGCACCGGATGTGTGCGTGATCGAGCTTGGAGGTACGGCAGGCGACATGGACAATGCACCGTTCCTGGAAGCCTTGAGGCGCCTACGAGGGAGAGTCGGGGAAGATCAGTGGACGCACATTCTCGTCACTTTTGTGCCTGTGATAATGAATGAAGAGCGAAGACCAAACCTACGCAGGCAGCTATGCGAGATGTGCTTTCTACAGGCCTGAAACCCGATTTGGTAAGTATACATCGTCGGCTGTCTGTGGATCTACTAATTTCCAAAAGATTGCATGCCGCTGTGAAGTTCTCCTCGCAAAATCGACTATAGACAAGGTTGCTTCGTCATGCGATGTGAAGGTAGCTAACATCATCGCCGTCCACAATGTTCCGTCTACATATCACGTCCCTGCCCTGTTGGAAGACCAAGACCTGCTCCCATCGATCACCAAACTCCTCCGCCTTGATCTCCTGGAGAAGACCCCACAACAGACCGCGAATGGTGCCAAAATATGGAAAGATTGGAAGGCCTTGACTGCACCCCGAAGCGAAAATTGTAAAACCGTAACAATCACCCTGGTCGGTAAATACACCACCTTTATGGACTCTTACGTATCAGTTCTCAAGTCATTGGAGCACTCCGTCATGGCGTGGGAACACAAGCTTAACCTCGTTGCCGTCGAAGCCTCACACTTGGAAAAGCCCGCTGAGGAATCCTCACAGGAAGACTATGACCTAGCGTGGAGCAAAGTCTGCTCAGCAGACGGCATCCTCGTTCCAGGTGGGTTCGGTGAGCGCGGTACAGAAGGCATGATCGCAACTGCAAAATGGGCTAGGGAAAATAAAACCCCGTACCTAGGAATATGCCTGGGCATGCAAGTAGCTGTCATTGAATTCGCACGCCACATGTGCAACATCCCCGAAGCGGGCTCGATCGAGCTCTCTGCGAACTGCCCAGACCCAATTATCATCTTCATGCCAGAGATTGACAAGGAGACTATGGGCGGCACAATGAGACTTGGTAGCCGGCCGACTATCTTCCAGGAAGGAAGCGAGTGGTCGAAAGTACGCAAAATGTATGAGGGGAAGGAAGTCATCAGTGAGCGTCATCGTCATCGATATGAGGTTAATCCCGAGTACATTGAGCGTCTCGGTGCAGCTGGACTCCATTTCATTGGCAAGGACGACAAAAACGTCCGTATGGAGGTGATCGAGCTCAAAGACCATCCTTGGTTTGTTGGTGTACAGTTCCATCCCAAGTATCTGTCGCGAGTCTTGCAGCCCAGTAAGCCGTATTTGGGGTTTGTTTCGGCGGCAATCGCAAAGCGGGTAGAAACAGAGGGTGTGAAGTTGGCAATCCGGACAACAAACGGCGTTTGAATGTGAGAAAACAAAAATTGTCTGTAGTGCCCGGAGATTTCAGTTTAGATTTTAGTATAGATTCACTGTTCGAGGTTTGATATCCTGGCTGCCAGTGATGTCCTGGTGTCGTAGATCAAAAGTTCATGTGAAACATGAGCTGTGATATCAAGCTCAGCCGTGATTCACCTCCAATCACCGGGCACCATATCCTAGAATAGTCCTCGTGTGCAAAGTAACCCCTTAGATCGTAGTCAATCTGTTGTTTAACGTCCATCCCAGATGTCGTGACAAGTCCTGTTATGCGATTCTTGAAGGCAAACGTGCCAAGGTCGTTAAGACACAGCTTAGGCTCGTTCTTAGGCTTGGCCTGTTCTTCAATCTCCATCTCTAATATTTCCTCTTCAGAAAGCTCATACTTCTGGGGTCCTGTGTATGGAGGCCCTTTGAGGGAGGCGTCAAACCCGACGACATCGAGATCATCACTAAACGTGAATCTTTCCTGGCAGAGCCTGCGGAGAGCCCAAGAGACCTGTGACAAGGCGTGCAGCGTGCTAGAATCAGCGTATGCCACAATATTGGCATATAGCTCAACTGGTAGCCGTTCGTTGGTACTAAGGGGAGGCAGATTCCGTCTTGCAGCAACATCGAAAAAATTCTGCAGTTTGGCAAATCCCACGTGTTTGTGGCAAACTTCTTGAAAGGTAGTCGCAATATCCGCCTCACGCCGGAAAACAAACCTGTTGGGTTCGAAAGTCCAGTCGCTCTTCCTGTCTCTATCTTGGAATGATATCACGCCTGTGCGTCTGATCACCTTGGCGCCACCCTTCACATACGCCTCGAGCAAAATAACATTGAAAATTGAAAAGAGGATAATCTGAAAACTGGTCTTTCTTTGCCCGAACCCGTACTCCACCGCTTTTGCTATGGCAGCTTCTGTGTCTTGCCTAAAAACAGAGTCGGGCACGAGGCTCACCAAGACATTCTCAAACCAGTATATAGTCTCAGTTGGAGCCGAGCCAGGAGACACGCCAGGCTCATGGCATTCCAAGCCAAAGATTGGTATTGACAATGTCTCGCCACTGTTTCGATCAATAATATACCCCATGTCATCATAGCCAGCGAATTTGCTATAGTCGGCGCGGTCGATGAAGTAATATCTCCCTGTGGCGATGGATAAAATTGCAAAGGCGAATTCACGGAAGGCAAAGCCCTTGTGGTCCCAGCTAGGGGCATACTCCCAAAATCGCGTAGAGTATGGGTCAGTGAGCTTTTCAAAGAATATCATTGACATGGCTTGCTGTACAGAAGGGTCGGGAGATCCACTCGTTGCATTGATCACTGAGTGACCATACTGGTGGTAAATTGTCTGGTATTTGTCGCGGTAATCGGGATGGTCTCCAAAGTAATTCTCAAAGTCAATGTTAAAGGGTAAGGCTTGGGGAGTTTTCCCAGTCTTGCGGTGTTGAGGAATATCCCAGAGATTGTAGTAAGTATGGTTATTGATAGAGAACGTCTCCCTGTCAAGATTGATGGTGTAAATTCCGTATTTCCAAGGACTGCGGATCTCGTCTACACTGCCTGCATTGGTGACTATATCATACGCTTCACCATACAATTCGTCTGTTGCATCAACAAACATATCGGCCATCCAAAGATCAAACCCTTTATTTAAGAGTGCGTGTGGTGGTCGCTCAAGAAACCCGTGTGGTCCTCTATGGTCGAAAGGCCAGCTCACGGCACCAAGCGGACGGACACAAAATTCTTCTGCATATGGTTCCCAGAGATCCGTAAACTCCGCAAGGCTTGCCTTACTAGCTTCGGATATAGTACAAATCTCAATGTCTAGCCGCTCCTTTAACTTAGAGTGGGCTTCATGCTCGTTTTTGAGCCATTCTAAGAAAATTTAGAAACACGGACTAGCAGCCGAGAACCCAGCTAGAGTTGCATATGGGCACTGTACCTCTATACTGCTCAGGATCCAATGGTATTTTGTCAACGATCAATTGCACTGGATCAGGTATTTCCGCAAGCCTCCGGCAATAGGAATATGCGAAATACCGGCCACCGGCGATGATGATTTCCAATCCGACGTCGCGCATCTTGCGGCTGTTACAACTCAACAAACGGGTAGACAGAGACAGCAAATCAGGAGTATCATAGAATGCGCGAAATAGATATGGCTATATTTATTCAAGCGTTTGTTGAGCAGTATGACGGTAGAATTTGAGAAGGTTTGAGGCACTACGAGTACATAATATGCAAGCTACACGGCATGTAGTCGTGCGGCCCAAAGTGCGGGGGAGGTCTGTGCATAAGAGCTACCCCTGGAAGCTTAGAATAGCATGTAGTCTATGTTATAATGGCAACTATAATATAAAAATAAGCAATTAATAACTTGTAAGTCAGTAGCTTTGATTTTGTGTATCAATATGTCAGCTGTGCACAAGTTCGCGAAGAGATATTAAATTCCCACATTGAATCACTACCATCAAAATATTCATGAGAACGAACCTCGGTAGTATGACAGTAAGACGGGGACTCGACATCCCGCACCCGCCCCGCACCTGCCCCGCAATCACAAGGACAGGCATCATAACGGACTATAGAGAACCTCCGTCTCAAGACAATATATATTCCCATATACTCTCAATTGACATCATCAACAACCAATTGCAAACCCACTACCACCTCCACAACCACCACAGTCAATCCCTCCCACACCGCCACAACCATGGAGTCCATCCGCGCCTCCCCCCTTCTCACTCCAATCATCGCCCTCAACGCCTGGACCCTCGTCGTCGAAGGCTGGATGTTCGCGACGCGCCTCCCCGTATTCACGCGCCTCAACATCGCCGAGAAGAACACCCTCACGCGCGAGGAGATCAACAAGATGACCCCCCCATCCGTGCGCTGGAAGGCCGACAACTTCTCGAATTTGTTCGAGCAGCCCACGCAGTTCTACGCCGTGGCTGTGGTGCTGGCGATCGCAGGTGGCGGGAAGACTGATGCCCGGCTCGCGTGGGCGTATGTCGCGGCTAGGGTCGCGCATAGTCTGGCGCATAACACTACCAATAATATTACGAGGCGCTTTGGGTTTTATTTGATTTCGTCAGGGCTGGTGGCTGTTTTGACGGGGAGAGCGGCGATGTTGCTGGCGGCTTGAAGAGGGGGGGGATTGGGCCCGAGGTGGGGGAGAGGAGGTTCGTCTTTGTGACATGGTATGGCTGTGCCATGGACCTCATTTATTTATGTATTCAATGTTCCCTATTTTCGACGCTCCAAAGCTTGAGGGGGACCATAGATCTTGAGACCACGGTTTCTATATCAATTCTGCATTACAGTGATATCAGCCAAAATTGGCCTACCTGCCAAACCATTCCGTTTCCGTGCTTTTCGTCATCGCAACGGCTAACAGATCCTCAGAGGCCAGCTTAGGCGCCTTAAACTAGAGACGCGAAGAATAGAGAACTTGAAGACATGATGATGATGATGATGATGACGATATTTATTTGCGTCCTACGGGACGCGGGTGAAACCTGCGGCCCTAGAAACCTCCCGAAGGGTATGGGGACGTGCTATGCTAGGGAATTATGTATGCTATATATGACCTGTAGAAAGCATTTCTTGCGTAGGCTGTATAGCTATAGGGCCTATTAGTTGAGTGCCTTCCCTACTGTTTAGGATAGCATTAGATATGTTAGTAGAGGCTATTACCTTAATAGTTCTCCTAAAAGGGTGTAGATTAGCTAGTAAGTATAGTTAGTGTGTTTTAAACTACTATAAGGAGTAGTATTATATTGCTATTATCCTTATCCTAGAGTAGGAGCTTAGAATCTTAGATAATAGTAGTAGTAAAGAAGGAAAATTATAGAAATAAAAGGCTGTTTAGACAAAGTAAAAGCTAAAGAGTGTTAGGGATAATTAAACTAGACCCTAACTACTAGTATATAAAAGTAAATGTAATTATCCTCTAGGATTAGGTTATGTTAACCTAGAGCATCTATAGGACTTAAGAGAAGTAGGAGCTTCTATTAATCTAGTAGATGTCTATTACTAGTTATAGTAGCTACCCTAGTAGATATAGATGCTAGTATAAAAGCTAGTAGCATAGAGGAGAGTAGTAAAATCTACTAGTTTTACTATAATATTAGTAAGGTATCCTAGCCTAGTAGTAGAGCTGTTCTACCTTCTTTCTCTTTACGGGCCAACGGGCAAGTTCAATTATCTTCATAGGCCCCTCCACGAGCGTTAAATTGGCGTAAAGAGCCATCATAGCAAGATTGCATTGTTGTAGGGCTCCATCAGGGCTGCTAAGGGCGACTAATGTTGGCCATGACTTCAAGGGTTTCTCTAACATTTCTCCTTAGTCAACTAAATCCCTGAGTTTCGTTGAACTGTCTTCGACTTCCTTCAGGTGGTCAAGAACCTTCCCGATGTCACTTGTCGCATTCTTAACTAACCGGCCATATTTGTACGCCTGCGTGGCCACACTTGTAGTGATCTGAATTACAGCAATTATTAAGGCGGCAAGCCTAATGGCAGCCATTGTTCATGTAATATAATACTAAGATTTGGATGATGTGAAGGAGGGAAGAGATTAATGGAGCTGTCATTTGCGTTCTAATATGGCTGAGCTCGCCCTAAACCCAACCAGCCGTGCCAGCCACAGCAGTCATGGGTACTTGGCGGAAACTGCCACGCCCGGCCGTAAGGCAGACTACGTGGCTTTGCCTAGCACAACATGCAGCCCAAGCGTCTTGAATTGTAAGGCGATAGTTGAAGTACTAGTACCACACATTCACGGATAGGCCGCATCGCCAAAGCAGCGGCAGGGGGAGACGGAGCATCTTAGCCCCAAACCATCTTATGTGGCAAAATAGGACTGGTCAACAAGTAGAAGCATCAGTGGTGAGTGGTATAAATCTATCGATGCTATAGTAAATTATTTGGGCCCTATAATGCTGTTTTATTTTCCCTGGCTTCCCATTCCGTCAATTTTTCAAAAGCAGCAACTTCTGGCGTTCAGCTGTCTAAACGTAGGTTTCTCCCAAATGGGGTGCCCGTGCGGGCATTTTAGGTGGGGGCTGCCTCCAGCTGCCATAAATGGACCAAAGCTGCTATGAGATGGTGGCCTTACTATTCTCAAACTTAACCGTGTATTTATTCACATGACTAGTCTGTCAAGGAACCGCTGTTGGGAATGCCAGTCGGAGGACGGAGAGACTTCAAGCCTTTAGCCCTGAAAAGCCTAGTTATCTCTACTGTGGCAGTGGTCCCATGGGACGATTACCATGGTCCTCACCGGGGCTAGTGAAGGCTCTACGCTAGAAACAGTTAGATTACTCCAGGGCTCTAGGGCTTACGGTAAGATCTTACGGGCCTATAAATACTGCGTAGAATCATTAGAATCGAAAAGGCAATTGAATCTACTATACTGTACTGTGGCCAGCTTTCGCGTTACGTGGGGATTAACATTTCAGGTACCGTACTACACCTACAAATTAGCTGCAGTCCACCGTACCACACGTACATATCCCCAACAACCCCTGGGGGTCTCAGCAGTTCGCTGGATTTTTAACCTAGACCGGCGGTCATGACGCACCCTATGGTGATCGATCGATTGATGTCAAGCAACATATAGGTGTCTAGATCTGTAGATCGACGGATCTACAACTTATTCCGCCATTAACAACGCTTACCTCATCATGACCCCAAGGTTAGATAAATACTTTCGCGATTTAGTCTAGAGGAAGGTACAAAGCTAAGAGATACGCCCGTCACAAATTAAAGTTTGACAGGTCAACAGATCCACTCATCACTCTTAAGTTTAAGCAGGGCTTACTCTAACATGTCCACACCTCACCTGGTCATAATCCCCGTCCCCAGACTAGTTAATGGGGTCTGCTACTGAAAACGTCAAACTACTTGTTCTTGTACTACTATGAATGGCAGTAAAAGATTGTGACCTATGACGGATGAAGCCGACTCAGCCAGCGACGCAGCGAAGCTCTAGCCCATTAGTTACTTAGCTTAGCAACGGACTTATCTATGCTGTATTAAAGAATTATGACGTTGCAGCCGATGAACCATTTTCTTTCTAAACTCTTGACTTTAGAGTCGCACAGCAACATGAGGTAGTTGGGGACTGACATGTATTAAAGAATAGAGCTGTCGCAAGTATTCTAATTTCTTGCAAGCTATTTGATTATGTCCAATTTGTTCATCTTCCAATTAAATGGGATCTCTCTTATCAACCATCCGAGATAAGATTCGCCAATCTTTCTTGAATATGCTTCATGCAATATTGAAAGATCATGCTTTACATGAAGCTGCTCATGATGCTCCATCAGAGCGTCGTCCCCTCATTCACTTCAATCAAGGCATCTTCTCGAACTCCTTAGTTCAGAATAGGATCCTACCTCGCCAAGATGTAGAGCTCGGTCCCAATGGCTTGATAGCTCCTCTACATTTTCCACTCACCAAAATTCCCAGAACTACTGCAAGTGCCACGACAAGGGCAATGACAGAAGTCTTTCTGCGCATCCAGAAGAGGTGAAGTCTGTTCTTCATAATATTTCACGACCTTGCTAACCCTAATCTTGAGGCTTGAGTCCTATTTTGATATGGCGGGTTTCGAGCCATCGGTCCCTCAGGATAGAGACTTTGAAGAGCGAAAACTTCTCTACACATTCCAGGAACCAGGGTCCGATCTCTACCCGCCCCACTTGCATATGACCCCAAATATTGTCGGAAAGGTCAGAGGTGCATTAGATCTCAGTCAACTCTTTGATTTCTCTAGGTTGCTAGATACAGGGAGCTTGCTCTTTCAGGTCATCCCAGACGAGGTTGTGGATTGGTACCACGATCATCCCGAGGGTGCTACAATTGCTGCGATTGAGCGTAGCAACCGAATCTTGTTGAAGGAAAAGAAAGACATTTATACGGAACCAAACATAGGAGAGCGTTCCGACTGGTACACAGACGCCGTCTTTGCACAGCAGTCATTTACGGGCGCCAACCCAGTGACTATTCAAGCAGCAAGCAACGATTGGGTGGAAAAGTTTATCGAGGAAGCAAAGGCCCAATCCAAGGATGCTATGATCAACGTTATCAAAGAGGGATCACTCTACATGCAAGATAATAGCTACTACCGAGCTGCTGTGGACACTCCTGCTGCTGCAGAGTTAAAGTCCAAAGACGGGACACGATTTTGCTGTGCCTCAGTGACGCTACTGCAACTGACCCCGGAGGGCAAGCTCCACCCTCTAGCTATTATAATCGACTACAAAGGTTCCATGGGGAACTCAGTAACCATCTTTAATAAGCGTTACGTACCCTCTGACTCTGTCAATTCAGAAGGAACCGACTGGCCCTGGCGCTACGCCAAAACATGCGCCCAAAGCTCAGACTGGACACGCCACGAGATCACCGCCCACCTTACCAACTGCCATCTTGTTGAAGAAGTCGTAATCGTAGCTGCACACCGTTCCTTTCGACGCGACCACCCAGTCTACAAGATTCTTATGCCTCATTGGCTCAAGACACTAACTATCAACGCCGGAGCTCGCTCCACTCTTGTTCCCTCCATCATCGTCGAAATCAACGGCTTCACTGAGGCACAAACATACGCCTTTATCCGCCACGAATATGAGAATTTCGACTGGAAAGCCAACTATGTCCCCGCATTGCTCGAGCGCCGAGGCTTTGCTCTCAAGGATCTTACAGACTCCAAATTCAAGAACTACGTCTATGGCAAAGATATCAGCCTCATGTGGCAGGTGCTGCATAAATTTGTCTCTTCAGTCCTAAAGCTGTTCTATCCCGACGACGCTTCCGTCGCTTCCGACTCCTCGCTCATTACCTGGACCTCTGAAATGCGCGGAAAGTCTAGCGGAAACATGAAGAGTTTCCCGGTCCTCAACTCGTTTGACGAGCTTGTTGATGCTGTCGTTATGTGCATCCATATCGCATCGCCCCAACACACCGCTGTCAATTACCTGCAGAATTACTACCAGGCTTTTATTCCCAATAAGCCACCCGCGATATACGCGCCTCTGCCCAAGACCATCGCGGAGCTTGATAAATACACAGAAAAAGAACTCATCGCCTCACTCCCAGTTAACTATCCACGGGAGTGGCTAATGGCCACACATTTGCCATACCTGCTAAGTATGCAGGTAGCCGAGCAAGAGACGCTGTTTGAGTACGCGTTGAGCGTGGCGAAAAGCACGGAAGGGGTTGATGGGGCGGAACAAGTCCATGTCAAGGATGCGGCGTTGCAGCTGTACGACGACCTTGTGACTTTGGGCGGCATATTTGAGGCATATTCGGATGAGATGGACGATAAGACTGTTAAGTACCAGGTCCTAGATCCTGAGAGGACGGCGGTTAGTATCTTGATTTGATTTAAGTAGGCAGGAGCATGCAAGGAAAAGGAACCGTTGCCTGGCGATATCGTGGGTTCTCTGACGTCTGCTAGTAATTATATCTGTTCCTTCTGATTCATTGTTTACTATTTACATGTCTCCTATCACACAACGCCATAGTAGATTACAAGCCCACTAATTGCCCAGGCCGCTCGAAAATCTTCTGCACATTTCCTTCGTTTCAAACCCCACTACAGCCATATTAGCACTCGAAGATGAGGAGGGCCAGAACCACTCTTAATTGCAAAAGCGGCGGGAAGGGTAATTGCAGACCGAGCAGCCGGGGCAAAAACCATCATATTTGGCAATACGCAATTCGTCAACAACGAAAAGCATCAGTGGTTTAGTGGTAATAAATCCATCGTTGCGATAATAAATCTTGGGCCCTGTAATGCTGGTTTGTTTCCCTGGTTTTCCATTCTGTGAATCTTGAAGAGCGGCAGCTTATGGCGCTCAACAATTTATAGGTTCTAATCTGTAGATATATAAGATCAGGTTTCTTAGGCTCCAAAAGATGATAATTGTCACAGGACGACTAAAACATATGGGTGAGCAAATGAGTTCTAACTAGTGTGTATTGGGTTTCCGCCCGCTTTATTTTGTTTTAGTTGCCTGTGTATAAAAACTAGATCGCCTTCTTAATTCCCGTAGCGAGATGAAATGAGGCTATATATAGTATTTACATGGATCAAATACTACAATCAAGACGGCTAGATTATAGAAGACAGAGTAACTTCAATTACAGTGGTAGATATAGGACCAACTTCACATATCTTTATATCATTCTCTAGGTTTCAAGTAGCCACCATCCTTTGCTATCTGGGGTAACTCCGGCGGCTCTATAGAGCCTTCCTTGCTCGACTTCCACAAAAGCTGCGCCTCCCGACACTCTTTAAAGTGCTCTAAAAATCCGTCCTTCGTGTATACCAAGTCTCGGGCCATGTAAGCAAATTTCAATGCCATACCGCGGGCGTTGCCCTTGTCAATAGCAAGTTGGGACCCAGCACAGGAAATTCCGTATTCGACCGTTTTATTCTGCCTATCGTAGTATGGAAGTGCACACGATGCCATGAATGCCAATTTGGGATTTTGTGGAAACCAAGGTGGCCCAGGTCGTAGAAGTGCCTCTTTATCTCCTCCGGAAGCTCGCATTGCCTGCTCAACGGGAACGATAGTAATGCGGTCTCTCTGAACATATTCTTTCATCGAGTATGTCCCTGGCAATGTCTCAAATGATGTAAGTTTGCTGATTGCCTCCGTGTCTAGAGGGAACTGTTCCTGGATAGCAGGAACCGTGTGCATTTGAAACTCTGTAGATCCTAGCGTGAGACATATGAAGCAGCATCGACGCCAGGTTGGGAGGAAGATGAGCCCAGCAAACCGGCGACAGAGTGAGCAGTTCTTTGTGCATAGTGCTTGGTAAAAGTCGAAGAGGGAGACGTTATGGGCAAGCCGCGTGCGTAACAAGGCGCATAGAGCGTTTAGTGCATGAGTGGATATGGCTTGATACTCTGGGAGAGAATCTACCGCCTGTCTTAGCCGTAGGTCCACTTGTCGACATTTGATGAGTGAGTGCATATCAAGGCTTAAGAATATGTTATTGAGCAGCTCTTGAGGTAGCCGACCGAGGGGGGCAGGGCTTGTAGACGGCCTCTGGAATGACGTGGATATCGACGTGCGGATGCCTTGGTGCTCACGTTCTGAAAACCATATGACGGCAAGATCGAAGTCTTTACGATGGTAGGAGGTGGTTCGGATAATGGCGTCTGCCTGTTCCTCTGAGAATTGGTAGCCATCATCGAAGAGATACTCCTGAGGCATTTCGGAGGCCATTATTGACGGCCGATAGGCAGTGTAGCTTACTGAGCTATATTTCACACAAGGTCACAAGCTTGCATATGGTGAGGCCAGGTTACGGTGTACCCATGGGTGGGATATGAGGGGTAGCTGAGACCTTTGATAGGTGCCGTGTTGATAGTGCTGTACACGGTGAAAATCGCGCGAAGATCGCAAAGCTTAAGCAGTAACTAATTATGATATAATGCAAAAAGGTGGCCTATGTCATCAAAGTCATTGTTAGAGAAATTGCAGTCGTCTTGATTGAGTATGACTTGACTATGGGAAAACAACCGATGTTCTGTGCCATCATATATAGGCAGCAGCTGCCTGTATAATTCGGCCTGAGGCACTAATACTCAACAGTCATGGGAATGGAGGGCAGGAACGAGGTACAAGAGGAGAACGATGGTATCACGGCAAAGGCTGCGACAGGCTATAGATGCGGCCGATTTTATATGTATCCTAGTAGGGTTGATGAATTGCAATAAATATCCTAATAGCGAAGTTTGCGCTCAGTCCAAAATGGTTTCCGCCTGCAAGATATGGCGGATTCGGTTCCAGCAGCAACCGCGTTAACGCTCTCACATAACTCCCACAAATACTGTGCCTGCCAAAACCACTTGAAGTGCTGTAGAAAGCGCTCGTCCCCATATATCCTGTCAAAAACCTCCCCATTTAATACTTTCAAAACCTCGTCTTCCCCCGTATGATGTCCATGAATGCACCCACAACATGACAGTCCGTATTCAGCTTTGCCAGAATGTCTATTATAGTAAGGCAGTATACAGGATGCACTCTTTGAAAGTTCGCAATTTCTAAGGTATAGGTCCAACGCTTTCCTGTCTCTATGCCTTTGTGGTATTGGAGAAAGTTTCACTGCTTGTTGGATTGGAACGAGTGTGTCGCGGGGTAAGCTGTCGCCGTTGATGTCTACTGAATGCGTTTGTCTTATAGTCTCAAATACCGGAAGTTGGTTGGCAGCCTCCGGGCTTAGGGCTAGCCGGCTCTGGATGGCGTCGAGAGGTCCCATTAGAACCTCTGGGGCATGTGTTATGCACAGAGAGCAGTATCGACGCCACGTTGGTAGGAAAATGACCTCGCCAAACTCGCCGCAGCGAAAGCAGGTGTTTGAACACAATTCACGGTGGAAGTCGAAAAATGAGACTTTAGGAGCTAGCACCCGCGTGCGTAACAAGGCGCATAGAGCGCTGAGTGCGTGTGTTGTTATAGCCTGATACTCTGAGAAAGAATCTATTGTCTGTCTCAACCCTGTGCTTACTTGCCGACAAGTGAAAACGGATTGTATGTCTAGAGACAAGGCGATGTTGCTTAACAGCTCATAAGGTAGCCGGTTAAGGGTCCCAAGGCTCGCGATCGAGGGCCGCTGGAAGGATGTCGATATCGATATGCGAATAAGCTCATGCTCATCCTCTGAGAATGATATGAAATATCGACGTTCGAGTACACGATGATAGGATACGTCTCGAATAATGGCGTCTACCTTGTCTGTTTGGAGATTATATTCAGAGGCGGAGCGGAAGTGTCCTATAGTTGGCAAATCAGTGGCTGCACCAGCCTGGTGATAAGACGTAGCAGCCTGGTGAGGAGATATAGGAGCGACGGCCTTATCAGCCAGTTCAACAGGTATAGCAGCATCGGCCATTTTGTTTGTGAGCTTCCAACGAAAGGATCCCAAGTGTTCTCAAGTTGAAATAGAGCTGGACATGGAGCTAGAGCTGGACATGGCGCTGGAGCTGGAGATGAAGATGCAGCTGGAGATGGAGCTGGGGACGGAGCTTGAAAATAATTTTTGTCTTCTCTACAAATCAATATTTCAAAGGATTTCACATTTTTACGGTCAGAGGGGAGGGAGGGTAAGTTAAGTGTCTAGTGAGGGCAATTGAATCAAGGGACTTTGGGGGCGGGGGATGTTGGAAGCATGGGATTGGAAGGAAGTTGTTGTATTGTTTGTAGTTGTATATTCAGCGGCGCTTATCGGGGGAAAGTATATCCGTTTAGCTGGGTGTGGTTATCACGTGACAACCTACATTCTCGATGATGAATAAGCACTCGGACTATCATTTCTCCCTCATCCGACCACCCCTACTATTTTAGACCCCTGAAACCCGTCAAAAACCCACATAAAGACCGTTAAAAAGCCACGTTCATGACAACATTGGAATGCCATTCCAGCCAATCACATCCCCTACTCTCGGGTATGTAATACGGCAAAATCACCACTCCCGGACCCATCTCGGGATCATCGCCCCTACCCTACCCTACAACCACCAACCCACCCCGCCCGATCCCACCATCTCCCTCCCACCTTCCCTACTTAGTGCTAAAAACTCCCCGCTGAACCTACCAAAGCTGTTTGCGAGCACGCAATCCGCACCAACAGAAAAACTAACGGCCACTCCCCCCTCCCCGTCGTATCAGCAGTATGCATCCCCTCCCTAGAACCCGCCTTTGGCGTCAAGCATCCCCGTTCTCACTCGATCTCGACGTCCTGCATACGGAAGGTCATCATGCCCTCAACGACGCCCCCCCAGAGGCAGCCAAGTCGGTCATTCCGCTGGTCATTTCTCCCTCTTCTTTCCTCATCAAATCCTTCTGTAGCTCTGTAGCAAGCTCTGCAAGCTCAGCTCTATATTATTTCCCTCCTCCCCCATCCCCCTCACCACCCCTGCCCATCACCTCCTCTTCCGTCTGAAAAACACACTTCTGCACAACCTACAGCACCGGACTGCGGCCCCAACCGCGCGCGCAGCATCCACTCGTCATACATCCCAGCCGCCACCTCGCTCTCCTCACGAGGCTGAAGACGCAGAAAGAATAAACCCCCAATCCAACCCCCACGACACCACGTGATGTCGCACCACCACCGCTCACCCTCGCCCATCGCCCTGGCGCCCGCTTCGTTGACGAGCGACGACGTCGAGAAGAAGTCTCCGCGCCATGTCGATGGGGAGAAAGGCAGCTTGGGCGATGACGGCCTGCCCGCCTACGGCTACGAGGATGAGATTGTGCCCATCAAGGCGGATAAGCTGAACCGCACCCTGACGGCGAGGCAGGTGCAGATGATCGCCATTGGGGGCACGATCGGGACTGGTTTGTTCCTCGGGACGGGCAAGAGTCTGGCGACTGGCGGGCCGGCGAGCATGTTGATCTGTTATATTATCATTGGAGTGATTGTGTTTTTGACGATGTTGGCGCTGGGGGAGATGGCGAGTTTCATCCCCGTAGCGGGGAGCTTTTGTACGTTTGCGGGCAGGTTTGTGGATGATGCGTTTGGGTTCGCTTTGACGTGGAATTATTGGTTTAATGATGCTGTGAGCACGGCGGCGGATCTGGTGGCGTTGCAGGTGGGTTTTTGAGTGGTGAAGTGGTGGAGGGATTTGGTTGCTGACTTTATTTTGTAGCTGGTTTGGAGTTATTGGAATACGGCGATGCCAGGGTGGGGATTGAGTTTGATTTTCTGGGTGGTGCTCATCCTTGCTAATATCATTACTGTGAAAGCGTATGGCGAGGTAAGTTTCCCTTCTTATCAGTCGGGAACTATCATAACTAATATGCTGATAGCTTGAATACTGGCTCAGTCTGTTGAAAATCATCACTATCATCGTAAGCCTCCCCTCAAACTAACTAAACTACAAAGTAGAGCACATCACTAACCCCCCCAGATCTTCATCTTCCTCGGGATTGCCGTCAACGCCGGCGGCAACACCTCCAACCACTACATCGGCGGGGAAAACTGGCGTCTCCCTGGCGCCCCCTTCGTCGGCGGCATCGGCGGATTCGCCTCCGTCTTCGTGACCGCCTCCTTCGCCTACGGCGGCACAGAATCCATCGCCATCACCGCCGGCGAGACGGCCTCCCCGCACAAAAACATCCCCCGCGTCATCAAAAACGTCTTCTGGCGCATCCTCCTCTTCTACGTCATCTCCATCCTCCTCATCGGCCTCGATGTCGCCTACACCACCCCAGACCTGTCGACCAAGAACTCTGCGACCTCGCCGTTCACGCTGGTGTTTCAGATGGTCGGGTCGAATGTCGCGGGGAGCTTTATCAATGCTATGATCATGACTTCTGTCCTTTCGGCGGGGAACCACGCGTTGTTCGCGGGTACGAGGCTGCTTTTCACGTTAGCTGTTAATGGGCACGCACCTGCGTTCTTTGGGAAGTTGAACCGCAACCGCGTGCCTTGGGTTGCTGTCCTGGCTACGAGTTTGATATCGGGACTTTGTTTTGGGGCGTCGTTTATTGGGGCGGGGCAGCTGTGGACGTGGCTTCAGAATATCGTCGGGGTATCGAATCAGCTCTCTTGGATCTCTATCGGTATCGCATCGATTCGCTTCCGCGCCGGCTTGGAGGCACAGGGAAAAACCCACCTCCTCACCTTCAGGAACTGGACGTACCCCTACGGCCCATGGTTCGTGGTGATCGGATGCAGTTTCCTGGTTCTGGTGCAAGGGTGGAGTTGTTTCAGTCCGCGGTTCAATGCGGTGGATTTCGTGAGCTTTTATATCGAGTTACCGGTCATGGCACTCATGTTTGTGGGCTGGAAACTGCTGAAGAAGACGAAGATTGTGGGGCTGAAGGAGATGGATTTGGTAACGGATGTGTATCATCCCGAGCCGGGGGAGGTGGATAGGGATGCGGCGGTGGGGTGGAAGGGGAAGGCGAGGGCGGTCTTGAGGTGGATTTTCTAGAAGGGGAGGAGAAGGAGGGGAGGGAAAGGGGGTGTTGGCGTTTTTTGGGGTTTCTTATACCAGGGGTTGATTGTTGGGGAGAGGGGGGAGAGAGGGGGAAGAGGGGGTTTGATTCTTGGGTGAGATATGGATACGAGATGATCGGGTTTACGGGGTATGTTGGTGGCAGATGTGTTCGGTGGAAGAGAAGAGACGCGGTTCCTCGCTGGCAAAAGACGGAGACGAAGAGGGTGTTTCTCACCTACCTCCCTCGGACAGAGATGGACACAATATCCTCACCACCACCACCACCTCTCCGCTCTCTCTCCAGCCGGAAAGGAAATAGAGACAGTTCACCTCCTCCTGCACTCCTTGTTTATCCATCTGCCGATCGCCGACGACCGACCTCGGAGCAACGAATATACCTCACCTGCATCTGCATCCTCACGACTCGCAGCTCACATGCTCACTCGGAAGGATTCACCTCGCGTGTGCATCGGGGCAGACCCAGCTCAGCTCACACAGGGCAGGATACGCAGTGAACATCCTGTCTGTCTGGCTGTCTCATCTCGTCGTGTCTGGATATATGTCGCACAACGTGCGTCACACGGGGCCTCCGAGTCGTTCGTCGGGTGAGAGGGAGGGATGGAGGGGATAAAGAGGATGAGGTGCTCGAGTACGTACATACAGTATGTGTTCATATGAATCCAACATCTCCGTCATGTATGTAATATACCTGCCTGTATGAGTGCGGCTTTTAACGTGCCAATCCCTCAAGTGAATCATCCTATCCTCACACCCCTCTACCCCACACTCCAGCAACAGCAACATCACCAGTACCTCCCTCTCCATCCTCTCCTCCCCACTACCAGCCGTACCATCTACGTATACACCTTTACTGTACTCTCCTGCTGTCTATCGTGTGGAGGGTAAGAAAGTATATACGTACCCCCCTCGCACCTCAGATCACACCATCCCGCCCCTCAATCTCACAAAAGCACGTGCGAGGTAGCTAGAATCCCATCATCCATCCCCATCCATCTTTCTTCACCCCACCCCTTCCCCCACCCCACCACCAGTGTCGATCTTGGCGGTAACACCCACCACACACCACACCCCTGCTTACCCAGCACACCCAACAATCCCCAAAGAGTTATGACGCTAACAGACGCTAAGCAGACGCTAACGACGCTATGTCGTAGGGTTATGTAAGGCACGGTGGGGTGGGGATCTGAAAATTGTTTTCGTCTCACCGCCCTCACCGCCCTTCGGCAGAAATGGGTTAGCGTCAATGAGAGCCACCGAATGCTGTCTAGGGCAAGAAACGAGAGAGAAGAAGGATGAGCTAGAGGGGAGTGGATGGAGGGAAGTGCTGGGTGGGTGACCAATTGTTGAGCAGGGAGATCAGGTGATGGGCTGGGATGGGGGGGAGGGCTAGACAGGGATAGAATAGTTTATTTTTCTGCTCGGAGAGTGTGCGAGGTTTGGTGGTGTGGAGGAGGTAAGTAAGAGGGGGATTTTTGTCTGGTCGTGTGATTGGGGGTCTGTGTGTGTGTGTTGTGTACCCTGGGGGTTGTTTGGGTGTTGGATGTCTGACTACTGATGGTGGGGGATAGGTGTAGGGTTACAGTAGATAGAGTAGTAGTTACAGTAGTTGTTGCTGCATAGACTGGGGATGGGGAGGGAGGAGAGAGATAAGAGGAGGGAGGGGAGGAGGAGATAAGAGGGAAGGAGGGAAGCAGACAAGGGGAGGGGGGTGTGTGTAGAGGCATTCTTTGTGTGAGTGACAGCAGGTGACAGGACAGGCATGGGTGGTGGTGGTGGTAGTGGCAGTGGTGGTGGTTGATTGAGTAAGAGGGAGGAAGGTAGGATGAAGGAGGAAGGGATGTACATATAGTAAGATAGTAAGAGTAATCAGTATGGGGATTAGTAGAGTAGTTAGTAGAGATAACTAGCTAGTAGAGTAATCTGTAGAGTTAATTAGTAGAGTAGCCAGTAGCCAGTAGAGATAATACTTAGTAAATACTTCTCCTTACTAAACAATCAATATACCCCGACTATCCGTAAGAGTAGTGCATTAGTAGTAACACCACTACAGTCTTACAACTACGTACCGCCGAGGGATGTGCAGAGAAACTCCGGGGATATAGGTGGGATAGAGGGGATGGCATCTTATAACTGGGGAATGTCCTCATCGACCATGACAGCGACACTTTTGAGGATTCAACACCAATCCAACAACAACACATCCTAAACACTCACAAACTACACTCAAGGTACATCCGTCCATTAAACCATCTCTGCTCTAATCAGTCTTCGATTATGTATTTCTTTGTCCCTTCCATCCCCGTGTCGCGTGTCTCGTGCTCTTTGGTGTGGAGGAGGCGCCGGCACCGGTTATGCGTTCCTCGCTCGCGCCCTCTTGGTGCATACCCTATCAGTAATAGCTTCCAACCCCAAGAAAACAAATCCTCCTCCTCCCACCACCACCCACCACCACCCACCACCATTTTCCCTCCTCCACCCTCCCTCCTCCGAACACCCCGAATAATACCAAGAAGCCTAAACTCCTCCCCCCACCCTCAAAAGCGCCATCTTTCTTTCCTTTTTCCTTCCTTCCTTCATTTCCTTCCTTTCTTCCTTACATTCATCCCATCGCGAGACCGTGAATTCCTCCAGATCCCCACGGTGTATCTACAGCTGTCGTCACTTCCATCCATCTCTGCCACTTTATACCAGACTACACCAGGTCACCAGCAAAGCCATTATACCTCTATTTTGCCACTCTACTGCCTTGACTACTTCTACTCTACTACCTTACAAAGCTTTACCAGCTTCAAACTCGCACCCACAGCTTCAAGGCATCACACATCCACCGCTGTTTGAGCGCAAGCAAGCAACCAAAAAAAAATATCGAGGTCCCCCCACGCCAGATTCAGCCACGATCTGACTATCTGCAACCCTCACTCAATCGATCGATCACCTCCAACCACCACACACAAACAAACAACCACCACACCAACTCTCCCTGCGACCCGCCACCATGGCACCAGATCTCAACTCCGTCCCCCTCTCCCCCTACCCCCCCTCCACCACCGCCACTCCCCCCGCCCCTTCGTCCACCCCCCCCTCACAGCCAAACATCCTCTACATCATGGCGGACCAACTGGCCGCTCCCCTCCTGAAGATGTACAACCCCGCCTCCCAAATCAAGACCCCGCACCTCGACTCCCTCGCCTCCTCCGCCGTCGTCTTCGACTCCGCCTACTGCCCCTCCCCCCTCTGCGCCCCGTCCCGCATGAGCATGGTAACGGGCCAGCTCCCCACCAAGATCGGCGCCTACGACAACGCCAACAGCATCGGTCCCGACGTGCCGACCTACGCGCACTACCTCCGCGCTGCGGGCTACGAGACCGCCTTGGCGGGGAAGATGCATTTTATCGGGGAGCAGCTGCATGGGTATGAGAAGAGGCTTACGAGTGATATATACCCCGGGGATTACGGGTGGATGGTCAATTGGGACGAGCCGGATCGGAGGTTGGAGTGGTATCATAATGCCAGTTCGATCTTGCAGGCTGGACCCTGTGTGAGGAGCAACCAGCTCGATTATGATGAGGAGGTCATGTATAAGAGCTCCCAGTTCCTGTACGACCATGTGCGCCAGGGCGACGGGGCCAGGCCCTTCTGCTTGACGGTATGTACCCCCCCCCCATTCTTCTTCCCATGTCTCGGTTTAGAGTTTTAGTTACTTGTGACTATCCTGCGCCCCTCCTGCACCTCACTATCGACGCAGCTCGCTGATTGGTCCTAAACAGGTCTCCCTCACCCACCCCCACGACCCCTACACCATCGAAGAGCAATACTGGGACCTCTACGAGGACGTCGACATCGTGGCCCCCACCGTGACGATCCCGCGCGATGAGCAGGACCCGCACAGCAAGCGCCTCTTGAAGGTGTGTGATCTGTGGGATGCTGAGATTTCGGAGAAGCAGGTTAAGCGGGCGCGGCGCGCGTATTATGGCGCGGTTAGCTATGTGGATGATTGTATTGGCCGGCTGCTGAAGGTGCTGAAGAAGTGTAAGTTGGATGAGAATACTATTATTGTCTTCTCCGGCGATCATGGGGATATGTTGGGAGAGAGGGGGTTGTGGTATAAGATGTCCCTCTTCGAAGCCTCTGTCCGCGTGCCGCTGCTCATCCATCACCCTGCCTCCTTCCCAGCCCGCCACGTCTCTTCGCACGTCTCGACACTGGATATCCTGCCTACCCTCGTCGACCTCGTCGGCACAAAATTGTGGGATACCCTTGACATCGACGGACACAGTCTCTACCCCTTCCTCCGCGGCGCCTCAGCCAACGCAGCGAAGGACACCGCCTACGCAGAGTACTGCGGCGAAGGCACCGTATCCCCCCTAATGATGATCCGTCGCGGAAAGTGGAAATACGTCACCTGCCCCGTCGACCCCGAGCAGCTCTACGACCTCTCCGCCGACCCCCTCGAGCTCATCAACCTCGCCCTCCCCCCCTCCAAGAGCATCGCCTCTTCCACCACCAACTACTCCGCCTTAACCAAATCCACCACCTCCCCCACCGAGGCCTCCACAGCCCTCGCCGCCTTCCGCGCCGAAGCAAGCGCCAAGTGGGATTTCCCAACCATCACGCGCTCAGTGCACCACTCGCAGCGCCAGCGCACGCTGGTGTGGTCCGCGCTCACGAAGGGGAAGTTCACGAGCTGGGATTATAACCCGATTGATGATGGGAGGGAGAAGTATATTAGGAGCCACTTGCCGCTTGATGAGCTGGAGTTGAGGGCTAGGTATCCGGCGGTGGATGAGAGGGGGGTGGTGAGGGGGGGGGTGGTGAGGGAGGAGGGGGGGAGTGTTAGGGAGGTTGTTATGTGAAAGGGGGGTGTGTGTCTTGGGACTCATTCGCTTACTCACCTCACGACTTGCCTGTCTGCCTGTCTGCCTGTCTGCCTGCCTTTCCATTCTCACCTTCTCGATCTTTTCTGTTTTTTTGTTTTCGTGTTTTTTTGAAAAAAAGCGGCATCGCGTGTTATGCTTGCGGAGGGGGGGATTAATCATGCATTGAAGCGAAACATCTCTTTCTTCTCCAGCGAGCGAGCGGGATGCGGACTATTACCAGGACGGCGTTTGGGATGCTTCTGTTTTTGTTTTTGTCTTTGCTTTGGTTTTTATTGGGTTTTATTGGGTTTTATTTTCTGTTTTGTTTGTGTTTTTGGGGGGGGTCTTGCGCGGTTCTTCTTTGTTCTTGGCCTGGGGGGAGGTTATTGGAACTTTGAAGAAGGGGGGGATGGGGGTGGTTATACCATCCACTCACTTATACTGGCGTCACAGAGGCACCGACGTACCTGAAATTGAACAAAAACCATAACGCCGAAAGGAGGGGTGAGAGGAAGGAAAGAAGCAAGGAAACCAGGATTGAGAGAATGAACTCGGTCAGGATGAAGGGAGGCAAGGCAAAGGATCTCGCTCACCTACCTTACCTCGGAATATAGCCACAAGCGCGGAGGAAAGGGGAAAATTGGACACGAACATACCCAGGAACCAGGCTTAAAATAGAAGAAATGAGAATGAGAAATAACAATCAAATCAAACAAATCAAACATGGAGCCTGTTGAAGGAAGTGAGAAGGGCAGTTACTGTCAAACACAGGAAGAAGAGCAGTTACTGTCTAACACCTGTGAAGATATACTATCTATCGCCACAGCCATAGCCATAGCCATCAGACACTCATCTCATCTCATTCAAATACCCCATCCCATCATCCCAATTCACAGCCTCCATTCCATTCATAGATAGACTGGTAGAAGTATTTATAAAAAGTAGTTGCGTCTTTATTTCTACCTCTCTGCCTGTCTCCTGTCTCCTGTCTGTCTGTCTGCGTGGGTATATCCCCCTTTATTCCATGTCCCCCCCAAAAATGAAGTACAATACATATAAACACCCCTCCCTTCCCTAATACAACCCCCCTCCCAAAACACCCCACCCCCTCAATTCGTTGCCTCATCCCATACCCCCCCATTAATCCCCTCCCCCCCCAAAGAAAAAAAAACACACACAAGAGACAATACTCACGTAAAAGCCTTCTGCCACTTAACCAGCTCCCCCGTCAACACATCCATCATCCCCAAAAGACTCAACTCCCCAAACTCCCTCGGCCTATCATCATCAGCCCTATTATCCCCTCCCCTTCCACCCGCATTATTCCCCGTCCCCGCACCCCCCCCAAAATCAACACCCACAACCCCCCCCAGCGCCCTAACCATCTTCTCCGCCTCCCCCGTATCCCCCGTCTCAGCCATCTCAACCTGCGTCCTAGAGATAAACTCCAACATCCCCGCCACCCTGCGTCGCATCTCAAGTAAACTCGTTTTCCCTCTCCCGCCGCCACCACCACCACCTCCACCTCGTCGGCCTTCTTCCCCGCCCCTCCCGCCACCACCAGCTCCAGAGGCACCTCCTCCCTCGCGACTCTCGCTGCGCCGCGGGGAGATGTGGGTATTACTATCCTCCACGTCGCGATCGCGGGTATACTGGTTTTTCCCCACCTTCCCCTTGCGGGTGTGCGGGGGACGACCGCCTTTTTTGTGGCTTGTTGTCGTTGTTGTGGGGGCGGAAGTGGCTGTTGTTGTTGTAGTGGTTGTTGTGGCAGTGGTGGTGGTGGTGGAGGGTGTTGTCTTCGGCGGGGGAGGGGAGGAGGGGGGTATAGAAGCTGGGGGTTTGGGAGCGGGGATGGGCTGGTCGTCTGTGGAGGGTGTGGAGGTGGGGGGTGCGGATGTGTTTGTGGTTGTTGGTTGGGGGGGGAGGAGGTCTTCTGGTGGTTCGAGGTCTGTAGGGTGGGAGTGGTTAATTTGTCTTCTCATGGTGCATAATGTAGGAAGTAGGAAGAACATACCATCAACCCTCCTCCTCTCCGCTCTCCCCTTCCTCTTATTCGCCGCCTCGAGCCTCGTCTTCTCCCGCTCCTCTCGCGCCTCCTTCTCGCGATGATTCCGTGCCGCTGCGCCGCGGATCTTCTTCGCGCCTACCGGTCGTGTTGCCTCCGCATCGTCGGAGTCGTTGGAGGGGCCGAAGGGGGTGGGGGCTTCTTTCTGGGGGGAGGGGGAGTTCGAGAGCGTGCGTTGGCGCTTGGGGAAGTCTGGCTTTCTGCGCGCGGGGGTTAGTATGAGTATTTGAAGGCGGGACATGAAAGGAAGGAGGCTAGACTTACTCCTCGCTATCGCTACGGCCGCGTTTGCGCCTTGTGCCACCACCGCCGTCGGTGCTCTCCGACTTCTCGCCCTTGCTCGCCTCGATTGCGCGGCGCAGCTGCTCTTCCTCGTCGTACGCAGCGTCGCGGCTGTTCATCGTGGAGCGTCGCTTCTGGTTCGCGCTCATCATGCTGCTCGATGTCGGGCGGCCGTTCTTGCTCCCTGCGCGGGGAGAGCGCGTGCCGTCTTTCGAGAAGGAGGCAGCGCGGCTGGCGCGGCTGGTGCTGCGCGACAGCGTTGTCTGGTGCTGCTGGTGTTGGTGTTGGTAGAGGGGGAGGTAGTGCGAGTATTTTTGCCTAAGTCGCGACATGTTAGAGAATTCGGTCTGGGAGAGCTTGCGAGTTGCGGGCAATGCGTTTGAGGTTGGGGATGGGTTGGAGGGGAGGATTGCGACAGCCTGGTCTCATAAGGCTGCGCCACGTCTCGCGACGCTTACTGTTGCGCGCGCGATGCTGCGCAATCAGAGGATATGGGAAAACTCACCCATTGGAGGCTGTAAAGACTTTGTGAAGGTCGCTGCGGCATAGTTCGCAAAAGTATTCGTCGGGGCTCATGTCCTCGTTCTTGATCCCGACGCAGCCGCCGTGCTGCCATACCTTGCACATGTCGCATTGCAAGAAAAACCCGGCCAGATCCTCGGTGTAGTCTTCGGGGGTTATAAGGTCGGGTTCGACGACTTCTTTGATGCCCTTCTTGTCCTCGTCGCTGATCTGAGGCGGGCCCGGGTAGTCGTCGCTGCCACAGATGCAGCGAACGGCCTCGTCATCCTCGCCGACAGGTTCGCTGATGCCGTTAGGCATGTCTGATCGCTTGTCTTTCAATTCTTTATCTTGTTCGTCCGTCTGCCCACGTTTCCGCCGGCGTGTCGATAGCGACTCCTCGATGGACGACGCGACTCTGTCGTCGAGAGGCTCAGAGGAGAGCGATTCGTTCGAGGTGAGCTTCCGCGGCGATTCGGCCTTCGCAGATGTTCGTGTATTCCGCTCTCCTCTGCTGGATGAGTTCGAAGAGGCCGAGGAGTGGTGTGAGTTCGAATTTTGCTGTGTGAGGGGACGAGAGCGGATGGAACGGCGAGGGGATGTGCCTGCCATTGTTTCGGGAGGGAGAAAGAGAATGACGGGGAGGCTAATGGATTCGCACTATAGTAGAGCCTCCCTCGCTCACTCGTAGCTCCCGTATCGAGTGATGTTGGTTGTTGGTTGAGCTTGTGTTGACCAGCGATTGTCCGTTCACGGTAGCTCCGAGTCTAAAAGACGGGCTATGGTGGAGAGAGCGATGGATGGAGTGGATGATTGATGGAGTTATAGATGGTAGAATTCAAGCAGAATGATCATGGACGCGCCAATGTTATATAGTAAAGGGCAAAGAAGGATATTTGGAATGTTGAGATCAACATGGCGGAACATTGGGGGGGGGGGAGAGAGGAGGGAAATGGGCAAAATACATGGTGGACACCTTCTTGTGCCTCTTGCACCTTTCCTCTCGCATCGCTCGCGGGGCCGATGCGGTTTGTGCCTTATAATTGAGGCTACTAGACTATATTATAACTGCAACCTTATAATCGAGGCAACTAGTCTCCTTAGTTTACTCTAGTCTACTCCAACAACTTCGTGCCTTATATATATACAATTAACACCTTATAATCAAGGCAACTAACCTCTCTGGAGATGAATCTATAACCCGATGACCCGATCAGGACTAGCCTCTGATCATCCAACTCCCTTCGATGCTCGGCTGTGGTGTCTCTCTCTGAGTTGTTCGTTGTACTTTTGTACCCCGTCCATGAACCGCCGTTGAAGATTCTCAAGGAAATATCGCCGCTCACCACAAACTCCCCCCCGACATCTCTCCAAAGAGCTATTCCGCTGTGCAGACTTGGCTCATCGATACCCTCATTTTTGCTACTTCCGCTCTCTTCATCTGTCGCCGGTAGACATTTCGCCCGCCGCGGAAACTTTCCCAAGGGTCGATTCATGGGGCTCGATTAAAGTACCTTCCAGTGGTTTTGTGTGCTGGAACTGTAATTAGTAAGAAGACCCTGTGGTACGAGGACGACATTTCCGAACCCCCAACAGCCCATAGTGGTACCGTTAGATCAACTATCGCGGCCACATACCGGAGAAGGGACGACGGGCTTCTGTTGATGTCAGAGAGGACGCCGTACTGATTGGGATTCTGTTCGTCTTCTAGGGCTTGCTTGAATACCTCGAAAGCTCGAAAGGGGCCCCCCCCAGTCGAAATTCTACAACTCGGGACACCTTGCCCAATATTCGATGCAATAAGGACGCTGAGAGTCACCATAAGCTTCCCTCCAGCGATCTGGCTGCGATTTCCTCATGTCCGCGACTGTCATGGGTAGGTTTGCTCTTTCCTCCTGTTTGCCTAACCCTCCTTCCCGAAACCCCACGACCATATGCCAGCACATCGCCCACCCTTCGACACTCCCATAGACCTCACCTACACCGATTATGGGCAGTTCCCACAGCTTCATACAGTGGCTGATAACTCTCTTTCTCTGCTTTATAGGTCACTACTCATCAGATACACGAGATCTCTCACCAGATGCGATGGCAGCTGCATACCCCGACCGCCCCATCCGGCCGATGCCAAAGCGCCGACTGCGTGAGCGTCTCTCTCCCAATGTGGCAGACGCCATCGTATACCCGCCGACGGCCCCAGCGATAGCGCCTCTGTTTCACTATCCTTACCATGCACCCACAGAGGAAGACCGGTCCCCTAAACCTTATCCTGTCAATAGGACACGTGAGGATGATGTCGAGCACAACTACATATCCAGGCGGAACCTGAAGGAAGTGGATAGTGACGAGGAATACACGGAACTAGCCTACCGGAGTCGTTACTCACGCCACTCCCCAGACCCCACAGGCCGATCGTACCGTTTCGTTCAAAAACCAGAGGCTGCCAAATATCCCAAACCTGATCCGCCAGCATCCACGACATCGTCCGCCGACGGGTATGATTCTTTCGAGAATACAAACAACAAGAAGAAAAGGAAGATACCAACACCTGGCGACGCGATCTCTAACGGGATACTACAAGCAAACGACATGGCGTCCTTAGCTATATCAAATCCCACGACAGAAGAATCACCTGTCCGTGAAGAATCCAGTTCCGGCCCCGGGCAATATTATGGCCCGCCTGTCAGCAATCTCGTCCAGGGCTTGTCTGGCCCAGGACGGGGGCGTTATGGACGAGTTAGAAGCGCAAGGAGCCCGCTTAGAAGTTTATCAGATAGTCCTGCCAACTGGGGTAATGCCCGTACGCCGCGGCAGAGACAGGCTCCATGGTCACCGGGTAAGTACCAGTTCCACTACAGGAATATATTCATCTTACTAATGGTTTGTTATCAGGCGAACCTGCAGGGATTATCTCGACAGCAATTGCCAATGCCGAAAGCAATTCAGCCCCTGTTTCAAGAGGCCAGGAGAACATGAGTCTTCTTCAAGAACAAGCGGCCCGAAAATCGAGCTCTACCGCTGCACAGTTTACCTTTACTTGCGACTCCCGAGTCCCTGGCACGGTAGCCTGGCCGAGGCCTCAAGCTCCCCCCCATGGCTCTAACGGAAGACCGACGAATACCCACGCAACTCAGACGAGCCCACCGATTTCGAATGGAAACCTTCCACAGCAAAACTTTGATCCGTCGCAAAATCAACAATTTAAAGAGAGACAGGGTCCTGTTCCTCCCAAAAAGAACCGCCGATCGGCAGGGAAGGAGTACCAAATCGCGGCTCGCCAGCGCCGAGAGCAGCAGGAGCTACAGAATTATCACCATCCTCTAGCACCCGAGGACGAATGGATCTGCGAGTTCTGCGAGTACGAGAGAATCTTCGGCACACCACCGGAAGCTCTCATCAGGCAATACGAGATGAAAGATCGGCGCATCCGCAAGCAGGAAGCTGAGAGACGGAGGTTACTGGAGAAGGCGAAGATGAAGGGCCGCAAGAGCAAGAAAGGGACTAAACCTGGTGCGAAGAACGCGGCAGCTACCCAAGACCGCCAAGCCCAAGGTGGGCGTCACGCATCGGCCGGTTCAAGCCATGCACCTCACGGTTCAGGCGAGAGGTACTATTATAATGATGATGATTATGACGGTTATGCACAAGATGACCAGCCAGCGTCTCCGACTTACCCACTGCCTACAGTTGCGCAGCACAAAGCGACTCAAAACCAGGACGTGAAACATACCAACGTTCAGGGCGGCGCAGGGAACTCGGAGGCACTGGCTAGCTAGCACAACGCCACCCACACCCGCACTACCTCTTGTTGAGATATCAACTTGAGAGTGCAGGATACCATCTCATTTTGTCAGGAGTTCATCGTTATCCCCCAGCACAGCACATTGCATCACCAGGCGCCTTTTCCTTGTCACCAGCAGCATTTTCGCACAGCATTCGATTTCCCGGCGCTCTTTACCTTTCATGGGCATTGCATAGAGAGGGGCCTGATTGTTTCACTGAGCCCGCTGTATCGGGTCCCACGAACATACGATTTCTTGGTCCTTCCTTCTCGCCTTGTACAACATATTATTATTACCACCAACCAACCTATTTACTCTCCTCGACCGCCGCCATCGCGCTGGCGGTGCGACAGAACTGGTCTAGATCCGACCTCTCGGAACACCTCCACTCTTAATAGCGCAAACACACAGCAGCTCGAACACTTTACAATACGCCTCGCTCACTGACAGTGTTCTGAGATTCAACATTGCTTTCTTTCCACGACAGTTTGACAGATAGCATTGATTACAACCGTTCGAATATGATGTCTTGGATGATATCTCTTACACCACTATCGCAGAAAACCGACCCTTTTTTCGGATAGGAGATATCCAACTCGTCTTGCATACAGCAGCTCCTCCTCGTTTGGGTGTTGGAATACAGGGAGGGGTTCTTGGACAGCACGCACGGCTGTTTGTTGGTGTGTTGGATTAGTACTGTTACTTTCTACGACTACTCATTGTTCTTGGATCGTGGGCTGAGGCTTGCGTATCTCGCACTGTTGTTAGTTAGTTGTAGAGTGTTGGAGTGAATTCAGAGGAGAGTGTATAGATTCTTGCTTGTTTTCGTGCTGTGAATTCAGTGAAGTAGTTGGCTGTGTGAAGGTCCCAATCAATCATAGGTAAGATACTATGTAATAGTTGTTGTTGTTGACACGTAGCATCCTAAGCACATAGTCACATCACAACCCTTCTGCACTTTCTTATAACAAACAATCCATGAGGGAGGGTATCAGATTCACATTTCCGAATCTACTTTCCCGGCCGGGGCTTAGGTCTGTCTATTAATACATCCATCCATCCCCTCCACCACCAGTCACCCTCCCCAATCCAATAAAAGAGTTAGTATTTATAGTTTTTTGTTTGTTTGGTTTGCCCCTTTTTGCAAATAAAAGATGCAATGCACCATTCATTGTCCACGCCTATGCCTTTTTTGCCCTGCCTGCTCCGCTGCCTGCCTGCCTGCCGGCCCTTTTTGTCCAAATTATATGCATCCCGAACCAAGAAAATACGTGCAATGCTTGAAAAACTCAAAATCCAAACGCAGAGGGGGGTTGATGGATCCAAAAACTTGCGGTAGCGAGTGAGAGATGAAGGAGAGAGGAGGTAGAACACCCAAAGCACCACCAGTGCATGCGGTCACTCAGGGCGTGTAGGAAGTAAGGATGGCATGGCGAACGACGAGGGACGACGAGAGAACCATCTAATCCTCAGTCAGATCACCATACTCCCACATACCCCTGCGCTCATCGTCCTTAGCAACAGTCTCCACCTTCTTCAACGCCTTCAAGACATCCCCAAAGCTACGCTCCCACGGCTTCAGCTTCCTCGGCACCATCGCGAGGCCCTCAGCCACGACCTCAGAGTTGATGCTCTCAGTCAGCTTATCGCTCGTCTTGGGATCAAACAGCGTGACGTAGAGCGTCCCGTCCTTGTCCGTGTAATCCACATTAGCAACGAGCTCCTTGTTCGCCGTCAGCTCCGTGATGTACGCGATTGCGTCGTTGAGGTACTCCGTGCTGACTGGCAGCTGGAGGAGCGAGAGGACCGCATCCTGCGCCTGCGCCTTCAGCTTCTGGATCGAGAACTGGGGTTGCAGAGGGCGCAGCTGGGCCCAGGGGATCTTCTCCTTGTTGCCGAAGTCGATGTACTGCACCTCGGCTACCTTGGCGGGGCGGTCGTTGGCGCGGATGCGCGCGCGGTACCATTGCCCGTCCTCGCTGAACTTGGCGGAGACGAAGTCCCCGGCCTTGGGGTCGGCGGGGAGCCCGGCGTTGTTGGTGGGGTTGAGGTGGAAGCTGCGGAATTGAGACATCATGGTGTCGAGGCTCGAGGTGCCGGTGCCGATGATTTGGAGCTTGAGCTTACCCTCGTCGTCGATGTTGGTGATGACCACGTCGCGGTAATCCTTTTGGCGTTCAACGGGCGCAGAGTCGCCGTTTGTGTCGTTCTCAGGGGCGGCTTCAGCCGACTCGGCTTCCTCGTCTTGGGACGGGTCCCAATCCTTCCACAGACCCTTTCTCGCTGCCTTGGCACGACCTTGGGCACCTAGGAGCTCTTGGGCGTTTCCAGACTGCTCGGCGGAATATTCGTGGACAGTAGCATAACCCTCCTCAACGAGAGCCTTGGCAAAGCTCTCGCGGTTGACGAAAAGCTCACCGATGAATCCACCGACCTTGTCAATGTTGTGAACATCAATCTCGACATCACGCTGGCTGCAGCGCTTCGTCGCAAAGTCGTGTGCCTCTTGCCCGAAGGGTTCGCTCTGCTCGCTTGGGTTCCTCGCAGACTTTGGAGCTCTGATACCTCCAAGAACGAAGTTCAACTTTGCGCCTTCGCGGGGGATGAGAACTGTGAATCGCGAACCACTCTTCACGAAGTCGACGATTGCTGGGATCTTCTTTTGGCGCTGGAGAGTCTGAAGTTGCATTTTTGCCTTCTGAGCGGTCTCGGATGCATCAACATAGGTCTTGATGGCTGGGGCTTTCGGCGACCACATGCCCTTCTTCTCCTCCTTTGCGGTCTCTTGTGCTGCCAGAAGTTCATCGTAGTTTGGTGCGCGGTCAGTGTCGTCCCTCTTGTGGCGAATGATCGAAACCCATCCTTCCTGGGCGAGAGCAAGGCCAATATTCGTGTCGTTCAGGATGACAGTTGCGACGTCCTTGGCATCGTACCCATCGGTAGCTGGCCTTGAGCCATCAACACTCACGCGTACGTGCTTTCCGATGACCTTCTTGCGCAGAAATTCTTTGGCAGCATCTTTGAATAGGGCTTCAGAAGGTTCGTTTGTTCTTGGGCCTCTAACACTGGAGATGTTGATGCGCTTCTCCACACCAGCTTTGTTTCGGACAAACAGGGTGTCTGCGCTGAAAACACGGGTGACTGTGACTTCTTGTGCAGCTGCGCCGGATTTCGACTTGGCCACATGTCCCTCGTAAAGGCCACGCTTGTTGACCTGGGCATCCTTCTCAGCCTGTCTCAATGCCGGCATTGCTGAACCCAGTAGAGTCGAGTGGTGATCCGAGCAACGCGCAAGTCCAGCAGCAAGCAAGAAATTCGCGATGCTGCCTTTGGGGTGCCTGACGGTGGCAATCAGTTGGTTTTGTGGGCTGACACCGAGGATGTCGACCTTCACGTTGCGTTGTAATAACCTAGTCTCAACAAATGCCTTGGCTTCGTTTCCTAGGGGTTCGGCTGGCTGCACTTGTTGGTTTGACGGGTTGACACGTTCTGTGCTTGGGGCTCTAATACCAGCAACAAGAGTCATAGGTTGATAGTGCTTCTTGTTGGGCATTATTAATCGCACAAGCATCCGGTCGCCGCTGAGAATGCGCTCGACAACTCCATCCACGGATTGGCCCTTGTATTCTGCCATGAATTCGTCGGAGTTGCCCAGGTCGTGCTGAACGTCGAGGTGCCCGCTAGATGGTGACCAGACACCCAGGTCTTCAGCGCGAGCTTGGCTTTCCAGAAGCTTGAGCTCATTCAGCAGTTGGACAGCCTTTTCTGTGTCTTCCTTGCGGCCAGCTGCATCCTTGATCTTGGCCCAGCCTTCGCGGACAACTGCCTGCGGAAACTTCACTCCATCCTCAAGGAATATCACGCCAAACTGTCGCTTTGTGGTCGGAATCTCGTAGAGAACCTGGAATTGGATGTTCTTGCCAACCAAGCTCTTTCGTAGGTAATCGCGGCTCTCGAATGCCCACGGTTCGTCACCGGTCTTGTTGAGGCGCGGTGCTGTAATGTAGGCCAGAGACAGGATCTTTTCTTGCGCTGGGTTGACGATGGAGGTGAGGATGATCGTGTCACCGCTCAACACAGACTTGACTCTGCCAGCCTGGACTGCCATTTTTGCGTATTGGGCGGGGGTTGTATGCGGACGCTGAACCGATGATGAGGATGTGACTGACGCAGGGGAGCTGCTAGGACTAGGAAAAGGAGCAATGAAGTTAGCAGACTGCGCTGATGAAGATGAGCTTGTAGATTCAGGTGAAGAGTTCGTGGAGGAGTCCTCGGCCTTCTTCTTGCTAAAAGGAGTGTTGTAGCCAATTTTGAGGCCATAGGTTCGCCTGGGCTTCCTGGTGGGTGTGCTGAATTGGTACGGGCCGGTCCCGGAGGCCATCTTGACAGTGGTTCAAGCCTCAGTTTGTTCGTGGCAGCTGACAATGACTGTGAAGCTTTGGTCGTGCAGATGAATGTGTGATCGGGTTTGAATTTGAAAAGGCTTGATTGAGTAGGCGATATTTATAACAGTTCATTGAGAGGTTCCAGGTAGGCGGCAGTAATAGGTGAGGGCGTGTAGGCGGCCAGCGAAGATAAAGAATGCTATTCCGAGATATTTCACCAGCAATCCCGCATTTTGTGAGTCGCAGATCCAGAAGAGCCAGACGGATCGGTGCATCTTTGCGTTTGTTTGTGGGTTCCCGCATGATCCTCATTCCAATGCAGGTGCAACTGGCCAAAGAGTGCTGGAACAGGGAAGAAAGAGAGGGTGGTTTGACTTACCAAATTCACACACAAGGTAGCTGCAGGTGTGCAGCTTGAAACTGGATATACAAAGGCGTATGTATATGAAGGGGCGGACGGTGTATATAATATATATATCACTTTCTCAGGAACTGGTGGAAAGCAATTGAGGTTCTACTGACTTTCCTTGTGAGTAGAGTATCCTTAGTAAATATCCAAATACCATGAACTGTCCACAATTTGTTGTCCAGACGAATGTGGGGTTCAGCACGCAAGGTTACGACTGCGATGATTGGTTGATAGCCGATTTTGGGGGACCTTGTGCCCATAGCTCCCCCTCCCCCCCGCACTTTCTAATAACTCCGTTCCGTGCCCTCCTTCCATAGTTGTCTGTCACTCTCTTCGCTCTCCCTCCTTCTGTCTCTCTACTAATAATAAATCTCGTGACGTCAAGCCGGAAGATTCTCTGAATATTCAGCGGCAACATATATATATACATGTAGCCGCGTCTGGCGCATGTATTATAAAATCACAAAATGGGGGTAGGTGCGAGGACGGTGCTTGCTGTATTCTCACTGGATTGTTCTTGACTTCATACCCCGTCGTTGGTTGCGCGGATAAAACTTCTACACCCTCAGTCTCAAAAAATGCATATGTGCTGCAGGTGAAGCTCCGTCTTCCCTAATTCGTGGTTCCGGACAACAGATGAGTATGCTCATACATGTATACTATGGTGATATACATGATATACATGCCCTGGGGCCCTGGAGGCCTGGGGGGCCATGGTGGCATCTGGCCAGAAACGGATATCAGCGAGCATCGGCACAGTCCAGCTGCCTTCTTCGTTCTTTCCGCACCCGCGATAGCCACGCAGTTAGCCACTCAGTCTGCAGCATCGATCGTCGTCGTCGTCGGACCATTGACCAGACATGGAGACAAGGGATGAATGGTGGGGCAGTGAGTCTGCAGGGCCAACAGACAGACCCTCAACGCACAGGAGAATGCACTCTTTATATGACCTGTATTCTTATGTGTCTTGTCGTTGCCGAACTTGACCCTTCTTTGGTCTTCGTTGGTGTTGGTGCGGCATGGATATGTATGTATATGTATATGTGCCGTGCCTATCAATAGTTATTTTTCTTTTTTAACATAGCCGCCACAGCCCGGGATATCCTGTTGGGGAAAAAATAACGCCTCGACATCGAGCCACCACCAGCCTTCCAGCCTTTCCAGCCCCTCAAAACCCTCTATTTCCCATCCCCATCCCACCTTGTCGCGGATCGCCCGATCTTCGGTTGTCCGTCCATCGGAGATCTTAGCGTAAATAGCTGATGCAGGTCATACAGTATATGCCTGTGCTGACCGGCCTGGTCTGCCGTTGATCGTTGGTTTGTTAGTCGTGAACCGGGTCGTGTGTGTTGGGTGTGCGTGCGTGCATTATGTACATTATGTGCGTAATTACTGCACTGTATCCTCTACTGTGCGTAATACTGCAACCACCACAATACCCGCACATTGCCCTATATGGCCAGCCTCTCACCGATTGAGATGGATATGAAAAGATCAGAATGCAGTTATATGCAGTATTATATTAAAAACGCTGAAGAATCCAATCCAAATCTAGCCTCCAACCCGTCTCAGCCCGTCGCTCCACAACTCAAACATCCCTAGATCAATTCAGAGAGCTCTGGGCTCCTACAGCGCGTAATCACACCTGCCAATCACGTCTCCAAGGTCCAATATTCTCATCCGGTCACTCCCATCCTTCCCTCCCACATCAATCACATCCATCACATCCATCCACCCTCACGTCCATTTTCAGTAGCCCTAGCCACCAACTAACCACTACTAACCGCTACTGACCACTACTTACCACTACTAACGCACCACTAATAACCGCTAATCACCACTAACCTGAGAAATTCCCACTAGAAATCCCATTACCGTGTATCAGATGGAGTGTGCAGACGATATTTGACGTACTATTTGCTGTACCTGCTATCTGGCCCTGTCAAGGCCAATGCCGTCCAAGACATGCGACAGCCATGAGATAATACTTTTCCCCTCTTCTCCACAAGAGATGCCGTCCCCCTGCTGCTATCTCCCCGGCTGGCGCGGTTGGCGTGGGATTTCAGCTATTCCGGATCACCTCCCTATCTATCTGTCTATCAGGGTCCAGATTCACTTGTAAGGATTCGATCCTCTTTTTCCCCCTTCTTCAATAGCCATTGTTATATATACCCGAGACCGAACAATAGCAGCCGGTCCCAACATCTACTCTTTCCAATCTACTTTTGGTTTCCTGCTTTCTTGTCTCCGTGTTCTTCTTGTTTCTTCTTCTTACACTCCTATATATTCGACTGCAAGTTCAACTTCAGATATTATCACCACATTTTGGATGCAGATGGCAATTATAGAGGAACAACCTGTTGTAAGTTCGCTGACTTCACCCAACGACTCACATGTTCTGACCTCCAACAGGCTGCAAATGTCCTTGGTGTAAGTCCTCTTACTTCCACTTCACATAGAGATCTAATCTGAACCTTGATATTTTGGTGTAGACAATTGGCACAGGTAAGTCATGCCGCGCCTCTGATCACTGTGACCTTTCTAACTTGCAACAGTGTATGTTATATTCCCACCCTTTGAAGGCTCACTTTTTCCACTTTACTGACAGCCACATCAAGATTATGGTGCATCCAAGTAAGACCAGCCCCACCCCAGAAACGTGACAACAAATATATCATGAACACATGCTAACAACCCCACAGTTACTTCCGCAGTATGGCCAACCCCTTTTTGTTCTCTTAGCCATTGCGTCCTAACCACCCTTCAGAATCTGGTCAAATTGGAAGACCAAAGATACAGATGGCTTGCCACCTGCCATGGTCTTTTTATGGGCTATTGCCGCAGTCCCATTCGGCACATACGCCATCGTCCAAGTACACTTTCCAACTGATCTATGCTCTCCAGTCGAGGCCTTGCCTTGATATACTAACGGTCAAAAGCACTTCAATACGCCACTCCAGATCCAGCCTCAGCTCCTCTGCACGCTGTCCCTCATATCATGGGTTCAGATCCTTGTCTACGGAAAGTAAGATATCACCTCCCTCACATCCCTCATCAGGGCCGCAAGTCTTGCTTACATTACTGACCTGCGTGCAGTGGGTGGTCATGGTTTAAAGCTACCATCTATGGGGTAACCACAGCGGCCATCTTTGGAGGTGCTCAGGCGGTATTAGTCCTCACGCTGAGGGTACGTTTTTCTTCCCCTCGTCTCCAATCTCACCCATCTGTCCCTGGGCAGAAAGCCAATTTTGCAACTCCAACCCATGTGTACCCTCTTCGCCCTCATTCTCAGGGATCTCTTCCCAGGCCTCCCCAGAATATTTCCAACTAACCGCCCAACAGCCCCTCTACAACCGCGGCATCGACTACCCCATGATAATCGTCGGCGTCATCGCCTCCCTCCTCGTCGCCATCGGCCTCCTCCCACCTTACTACGAGATGTGGAAGCGCCGCGGCCGCGTCGTCGGCATAAGCCTCTGGTTCATCTTCATCGACCTTCTCGGCGCCTTCTTCTCCCTCATGGCACTCGGTATGCTCCCCCGCCCCTCCCCAACCCCCAAACTATCAGCACCCTAACACCCACCACCAGTCGCCCAACACGAATTCGACATCCTCGGCGGCATCCTCTACATCGCCGTCATAATCCTCGAACTCGGCATCCTCGGCTCCCACGGCATCTGGCTCATCCGCACGCGCCGCGTCCGTCGCGCCGCTGCATTGGAGGGAAAGACCTTCGACGACGTCCTCGAGGAGAAGGCGCACGCTGGGACGCCGTGGAAGTTTTCTGAGCGGCGGTTTTGCCTCAAGGAGTCCCGGAAGGGTGGGAAGGGAGGAAAGGGGGGAGAGGATGTGGAGATGCAGGTTGAGCGGGGTGATGTGGTGGAGACCTCGACGAACCCGTCTTTGACGACGGCGTCTTCGATTAATAAGAGTGAGTCTACCTCTACCCTCTGCTGATGGATAGAAGGTGGGAGCGGAGAAGCTGACACAACGACATAGATCCTGCTGTGGCGGCTGACGGGGGCCAAAGCGGAGTCTGACGACCTTTCTGATGACTTGGTGAAATGTCACGTCTCTTGATGACACAAAAGCGTTTTTGACGACATTTTATGATACTTATATACTTATTCTTTTACTATTCTATTTTATCTCCCCTCCGAACAGACGGTGGACACGGATACCCCCCGTATATCCACACCGAGCCTCGCAATCCTCGGTCCTTTCAATCAGCGAAACTGCCTGTATTCACAATCCGCCAGTACTTCAGAGAGCGAGACTATTAGGGAAGGGAACGGAGACGGGGGTTTCTAATCACAAAAGATTTTGTTTTCTTCCTAGATGGATGGATGGATGGATGGATTTTTTCTGGACAGATACCGGGGGAAGAACGGGTCGCATTACAGAATATGAGAGAGGGAGGAGTACGATATACATAATAAGCAGCGTGTCTTCCAAAATAAAGTTCCCAATCTGAGCGAGCAGTACCTCTTCATTCTATAATATAGACCGCCTGAAATCAAACAACACCTACCTACCTATCACTCACACCCAACCCACCACCCGCCTCCGTACTTCCACCAACCGGAAGAATTGAATTGAACCAAACTAACCATGACGACACCCACATAAATACCCCTCTCCCCCACCCCAACCATCAATAACCCGGTCGCTTAGCTCAGTTGGTTAGAGCGTGGTGCTAATAACGCCAAGGTCGCGAGTTCGACCCTCGTAGTGACCAAATCATCTTTTTGTCATTTTGCCTACTTCAGTTTCTTTCTTTTTTGACCTCAATAGTGGTTGAGGTTGGGATTATTTTTTGTGTGGTGGTGGAGGGTTAAGCGAGGATGGGGGTTTCGTGGTTTGGGTTGGAGATGGGTGATGGCGATGGAAGACGTGGGTTTACAATGAGAGGAAATGGGTTGCCTATATTTTTGTACGGGGGGTCACTCATCGCAATATCTCAATGCACTCACAGCTACCAAGAAAAGCTCAGTTTCCCATCTCAAGGAGTATATAATACGCTACAGCGCCCCTCCTCCTCCGCCCACCACCATCTATCACATCCCTAACTAACAGCCCCCTCACTCCCTTCCTCCCTTCACACACCTCCTCTGGCTCACCCACGCCATCAGTAATCCTACATAACCTCCTCCCCATCTCCACCCTCACCCACCAGAAAATAGATAAGAGACCGCGGGAGGTGAAAACCTCCCCCACATAGAGTGTCAATATAAAAAACACACACCCCTAGAATGCACCACGCTCCCGTCCCACGAAACAAACGCCCAGGCTATTTATATGTATCCGACACCCATGAGAAAACGAAAACAGGAAAAACGAAAACAGGAAAAAGAAGATACGAACGGAGGTAGAATGGCTCCGACGCAGCGCAGCACAGCAACCACATAGTGCGTTTCCTCCCCACCCACAACCATCACCACGTCCCTCACCTACTCCTCCTCCCTAATAGTAGCACTCGTAGCGACCGCCTCGCGCGCAGCGCCCATCCGGCTCTTCTTGCCCTTCCCCTTTCCGCCACCGCCGCCACTCTTCTTCGGCGGCGCGTCTTTCTGCACCTCCTGCGCCGAGAAATCCTTCCACTTGCGCCATCCGTCGAAGTCGATCAGGGCCTGCATGCATCCCCATTCCATCACCTTGCGCTCGAGCCAGACAAAGTTGACGGGCTGGTAGGGGGAGTTAGTATTTATTTATCTTTCAATCATTCTCCGACTGTGGGGGAAGGAAGCGTACCTTGGTCAAGAAATCATTACACCCCGACGCCAACGCCTCGTGACGATCACTCTGCAGCGAGCTCGCTGTGAGCGCCACGATGATGACGGGGCTCTTAAACAGGATAGGCGTGGGCAATTTATCCTCTCCCTCCGGCTCCTCTGGCTTCTCGGGCGCGGTGCTCGACGCCGACGAGAAGACGCCAATGCCGTTGAGGCGCTCGAGGCGGCGGATCTCGCGCGTGGCTTCCAACCCGTTCATCACGGGGAGCTGGATGTCCATTAGGACGAGATGGAAGCCGCCTTGGCGCCATTTGGTCATGGCGTCCTTGCCGTCCATGGCGGTCTGCCAGCGCACCTTGAGGCGCTTCATGAAGGCTTCGAGGAGCTTTAGGTTGATGATGTTGTCTTCGACGATGAGGACGTTGATGGGTGGGACGCTGGCGCCATTGAGCATCCCTCCGGGCATGGAGGGAAGGTTCCTCATGAGTCTCTTCGGCTTCTTCGGTCTGGAGCTAGGGGCAGGTGAGGAATCCCGGGGCGGTGGGGCCACGATACCTGGAGCGATTGCTTCGATTTCCGGTGGAGTCGGCGGTTTCGGAGTAGGGGGTGTCTTGGAATGCTCTGCCAGTACCGGATGAACTCTCGACCTGGCCCCATGAGGCGAGGCAGTCCGACCACTGGCCCCAACGGACACGGGAGTCTGTTGCCCGTTGATAACGGGAGGCGAAGAGCTGGTCACGCGAGAAACTCGCGGCCTGGCGGCATATTTCCTCCCGGGTGATGGCAGGTTCGGGATATGCCCGGTGCCGAGGACGGATATGGAATGCGGGATGCTCGAGCTGGCTGATGCTGGCATCGACACGCCGCCCTGATGGTGGGGGGACGGAACGAGCGTAACTGGCATAGGTGGGAAGTAGTCTGTCCCAGACTCACTAGGCCGTAGTTCGTCGTGATAGTATAATGTGGCTCTTGGAGATTGTCGCGGAGCCGGCCTGACGGGGACATCGATAATCAAAGCTTCGTGTACGGTTTGGCCACCGGGAAAGTTGGCGTCTATCGTCCTCGAAATCGGTTCCTCGGGCCCAAGGATCCTTTCATGTCGATTTTCACGACCATGGTCTCTCGAATGGTCCCTCGCATGATCCCCCCTCGAGCAAATCTTCAACGTAACATCCGGCGCGTCGAAATTCCTCCCCAGCGAATTCGCGTATTTCCTCAAAATCATATCCCGCACATCATCCACCAGGTCGTCCTCATTTATAGTAACCAGCGTCGCCGACGAATTGGGCCTCTTGACCCAGATCTTCCTCATCAACATGCTGCCGTTGATAGTCGACTGCTGTCCGCTCGCGCTGCCCTGCTCTCCCCTTCCCGACTCCAAGTTCGCCGCCTTCCCGATCTCGAGGAGTGTCTGGATCAGCGCCGTCTGCTGTGTCGGCAGGAGCGATTGGCGCCGCTCGCTCTCTCGCGGTTGCGAGCTGTCGGAGGGATTCACCGGCATCTGTATTCCATTTCCAGGCTCCAGGTCGTCGATGGGGTCGTCTGCGCCGGGATTCTCGAGCTGCTGCTGCTGTTGTTCAGGGTGGTGGGTTCCTGACTCTTGCTTCTCGACTAGTTCAGGGTTGCTTTCTAGCTCTGGGCGTTCCGTCTCTAGATCCTCGGCGTCGTGAATGCGCTTATCTCCCTCCTCCTGCTCTGTCGGTGTATTGGCAGCGGGACTCGACAGCGACGGTGCGGTAGTTGGCAGTGAAGACGGCAGCGTAGTCGACGTCTCAGTGTCTCGGTCGTGGTCGTCGAGATTCGCCGTGGCGCCGGGCGGACCACCCTGTGGCTGCGCGAGTGGATGTGGGTGTGGCACAGGCTCCGCAGCACCCCGATAGCGCGGATCGCATTCCAGACTAACGCTACTGGCGTCGTTCGAGCTGGAACGCCAGGCGGGCGGCGAGGTGCTGGGGATCCGCTGCGACGACGACAGGCCTGGTAATCGCTGTGGTTGGATGTCGCTGCTGCTGCTGTTGGAGTCGGTGGAGTTGTGACGGTGGAACTTTGCGCGGATTCGGCGTTTGAGGTTGTGCATTGTGAGGGGCCGGCACTGGGCCAGTCGCTCGCTGTGCTGTGGACCGTCGTTGTGTTCGCATTTGGGGTTCACGGAATTGTATAAGAAGGGAAGGCGCTCAATTGGTATATTCGGGTCCCTTTTCTTCTGGTAGAAGGTCTATGAAGAGGGATATTTAGTAATATATTACACGGCAGGCACAGAGGTGTGAAAAAAAGTTATAATAAGAATGTACATATAGGCAGGTAGCTCTTTCCAGGCATTCACTCACTGATCCCTGGATGAGTATCAACGCCTTCTCATGGTGGAAACTTGATTGCTATATTCGCCACTTCCTCATTTCCTCACTTATTCTCATTTCCCCCGACATGGTTCAAGGTATTTATTTGGCCCATCGAGGAATTGTGGGAGTGGTATTGTAGCAGGATAATAAATTTCGTGTGAATAGTAAATAATAAAATAAAATATAAATCTACCTACCATAATATCAACCTCCAAAATAGAAAATACCACCGTCAATCCAGACCTTGGTACCAGTTAATTTCGACATTCAAAGCCATCTCCCATCATATAAATCCAATTCCATCATAAGCCCCCCTACCCACTCCGTAGTAATTAAAACCCTTCCCAGTAACTGGAAACAAATCCCAGAAACAATCCCCAACAACCGTCATCAAAAACCAACCCCACGCCACACTCACACCTACCAACCAAACACACACACTTCCCCACCACCCCCCCCCACCAGGGGTCCTTCAAGGCGAGATGCCAATTTCCAACTTTCCCATCTCGCCAGCCACGGAAACTCGTGGTTTGTGTTTCCGGTTCGGATTTTATCCTAAATGCAAAAAAGGCGTTATTGCAACTGTAGTAACTCAACGACGTAAAGTATGTATACTGAGCCCACTACATTGGTCGAGTGGGTGAGTTAATAGTGAGTGCTGTGAATGTTATCAAAGGGGGAGAGATGTTAGAATAACAGGTAAAGAGTATCACAATAAGACGAATATATGTATGGTATGGTCAACGACTGCATTCTCGCAAATCCAAGACTTTGTCTACTCCTCATCCATCGTCTTTCCACTTCATATCCCACCTCCTAACCACCACCATGCCCAAAGCATCCCCACCCATCCGAGACATTACCCATCACGCTCGCCCAAAAACTCAAAACGAATGTGAATGTGAGCTTCCCCTCAAAACCCAGCTCAAGCAATTTCGTAGGTATCGTATTTGTCTAAACAGAACAAAAAAATCATTCTCTCCTTCTCTAAAAAGAACGCCTTTACTCCGGCCTAGCAGGGCTTATACCAGCTCTTGCGATGAAGAAGGTTTCTGGAATGTTTTTCCCCGCGCGCGGCGCAGATGGTGATGTTTCACCTTACATACACGACAATATCCCTCCCTAATCCCCGTACCCAACACACGCGCCATGCAAAAAAAAAAAAAGGATCATAATACAACGGTGTTTGTTCGCGCGCCGTCGTCTCCACCGTGGTAATAGTAAAAAGAGACCGCCGCAGACGCTCCTTCCCCACCAGACCAGCAGGTCCAAGGCAAAGGCCTACATGGCCGTGCTCCCGGGTAACCTCACGAAGCGATGGCCCGTATGGTTCGAAGGCGGAAGATGATTATGCTGCACGACCCTCGCGCGGTTATTCCCGGCATACCCACTACTGCTGGCCTTACTGGCATCGATGACAGTGCTAGGGTCCTCGTATGTATCAACCTGGCAGCACTCGATGTTGCGCAGCCAGCGGTTGCGCGCTACGTCCGCCATCTTGATGCGCTTCGCCGGGTCGGGGTGCAGCATCGCGATGAGCATGCGGCGCAGGGCGGGCGGGTTGACCATTTGATCGAAGGCCACGACGTGGGGGTAGTCGAGCTCGGTGATGGTTGCGCCGGGGGGGTGCTTCGCTTCCCACTTCTCCCAGCCGCGGACGAGGGAGTCGTAGTGTCTGTTTCCGCGCTCGGCGCGGGGCCAGAGAGCGCCGCCGAAGATGACGTGGAGCATGACGATGCCGCTGCTCCAGACGTCGAGGCCGCGAGGGTCGTATTCGCCTGGGGTTGATGTTAGGATTTTGTTTTGGGTATTTGGGGGTTGGGGGGGGGGGGGGGGGGGGGGGGGGGGGGTTGCGGGCTTACCATTCTTAACTACGACTTCCGGAGCGATGTACGGCATGCTCCCACAGATTCCAGGAGCGCACAGCCGCACCTCGCCCATTTCTTTGCCGCATTGTCCGCCGGCTTCGCGGAGGCCGGGGTGAATGCCCGAGAAGACCTCCGAGACACCGAAGTCGGTGATCTTGATCTTGCTCGAGCTGGTCACGAGGAGGTTTTCCAGCTTGATGTCGCGATGCGCGATGCCGTGCTGGTGGAGGTAGTTGACGCCCTGGACGAGCTGCTTGAAGATGCAGAGTCGGTCATTGAGGCGGTCGGGGCCGGTGAGGTAGTTCTTCTGCACGAGACTGAAGAGGTCGCCTTCTTGGCAGTACTCCATCACATGATTCCATCGCCCGTTGTGCGTACAGAGGCGTATGCTCTCTACAATATTCGGGTGGTGCAGGCTCTTCGCGATGCTGAATTCCGACTTGACCTTCTTCTCGTAGTCCTCCTCCACCTCGCCCGTTCGCTTGCCGCGAAATTCCTTGACGGCATGCAGCTCCGACCCGCCCTTGCGCGTCATGAGTGTAACTTTCGAGGTCGCACCCTTACCGAGTGTCTTGCCACGTCGGCCAATGAGTTTGCTCTGGTCGGAAAATTCCTTGTGCAGGTCCACAACGTCAACCCAGAAGTCGTCTGGCAGACTCAGACTCATGCGCCTTGCCTTCAGGCCCGTTCCGGCCTCGGCAGGGAAACCCCACTCGTGTCTCGTGAGCTCAGGTTCTTTTAATTTCGAGATTTGTGTGGTACTCCGCAGATCTACGCTGGTCGCTCTCGGCCTGGGAGCTGGCTCCTTCAGGTCCTTTGGCCCCGCAAAGGTTATGAATCTCTGGCGGAATCCGATGCCACTAGAGGCGCGGGATTTCTTGCCCAGGAACTGCGAAGCGTCGGGCTCGAGCATGGTCGCCTTCTTGTCCCGCGGCGTACTCGACGGTGATGGCGGGGAATTCGAGCGAGTTGTATCCGACGACTCGACCACCGAGACACGACGTGCGCCAGGGCTGCGTTGAAATAGCATTGTGTCTGATCCTCCACGAGACGGGTTCGGGGAAGGGTCTTCGATGGCGGATGTGCCGGAAGCCGCTGCGGGGTATTGTGACTGGGAATTTGATCGACGGAAGAATTGCGAGAGGCCACGCTTGATACCGGAGTCGACGGCGGATGTAGGCCGTTGTGGCGACGCATATAGAGATTCGTCGACGGAGGCACGTTGCTCTCGATTCCTGTCTGACGAAGACTTTGGCGGCGGTGTAGCGGCGGTGTTGACGAGCAGCGGTGGCTTCCCTACATTTGAGAAGGCCTCTTGTGAAGTGTCGTATTTTAAGTCGTCAGGAGGGGTATGGCGGAAGTCGTGGGGTGGTTGTGTGTCAGTCGGAGTTAGGGGTTCGTTGGCGGCCTCGCTGCCGGTCTCGTCTTCTTCTTCTTCAGGGATTGGACTTTGTAGGTCTATAGGACGACTATCGGGCGATTGATCTCTGCTTTGTGCGGGTGGCGTGGAGCCTATTTGAAATAAGGGTGCTCGATGCTTCGAGGCGGTATCATTCGGAGCAGTCGAGTGTAAGTTTTCAGTCTGTGGCATCCTGACGACTTGAACTGACGACATTTCTGATGATAAGATTATTGAGGCCAATGGAGGAGTGGAAAGACCGGTCAAATGGTGACGGCCTTATATTAGTCCTTGGTTAGAGGACGGAAGAGTCGGTTCGGGAGAGTCCGATTACTCGCGATTGGACTGGACGGGAGGAACCAAAGTTTGCAGAGAACAAGAGTGAGCCGATTTCCGAGTGCAGTTACGGCACACACAGCGGATATAGATTCGTATGAGCAGAGTATGAATTGACGAGATTCTCCATTAAAAGCACTTGTTGTGTCTGCTGTGTCTGGACAATACCCATACAGGGTTGGACCGTGGTCGAGTTTAGTTCCAATCCGTTGAAGGGGTCTGAGACAGGATGTTGAATGACGAGTAGAGGGCGCAAGCCGAGGTGACAGTTAGGCGGACAAGCGGGAGCGATTGGTGATTTGAATAAGTATATATGTTCGATATAGAGTCGAAGTTAGTTTGTAGTTGTTTTGTTGAGGTAGTTGGTAGTTGGAGAATGAGGGTTTTGGTGGAGTTTATTAAAGAGGAGACGGAATGCATTCAGCAGTCTATTTGAGAATAACGGGAGATTCCAAGACCCAAGCCTAAGTTGGGGGGTTGATGGAGGAGGGGGGGGTGGGTGGAGGGGGCGGTGTTGAAGGCGGGGGGGTGTGAATGTATGGAGGGTTGTATGAGGGTTGTATGTAGTATGGGGAGCGTGGGAGCGTGGGGTGGGGGGATTCTTTTGTTGGCGGACTGGCGGATTTTAGGTGTGTGGTTGGTGGTGGTGGGTGGTGGGTGGGTAGTTTGGTGGGTGTGGTTGGTGGGTGTAGTTGTAGTGGTATGGAGTTGGAGTTGGAGTTGGAGTTGGAGTGTGTGTGTGGTGTGTGGTGTGTGTGGTGGTGTAAGTGGTGTTAGAGGGTGGCGTGGAGGTGGTAATAGTAGGTAATAGGAGTAGAGGAGTGGAGCCTTTCTTTTTAGGCCTGTACTTTTGTCCGTACTTGTCTCCGTACTTGTCTCCGTGATAGAGGTACGTGATAGTGGTAGACGTTTTGAGAGGCGACTAGCGATGACTAGCGATTAACCGACTAATCTGGAGAGGTTTGGAGAGAGTTGGTTTGGAGAGAGTTGGAGGGGGAAGGAAGCAAGCTAATTAGCGTGCTCTAGTACGGTAGATAGTACAGTAGAGTAGCTTGTCCAGCGGCCTGTCGAGTGGCCTGTCGATGGCCTGTCGAGCAGAAATAGAGCCTTTTGAGCAGTAGTCTGCCTGCGAGTGACACGGATATTCTGTTTGGCGACTCCAGCTTCCAGGATTTGGGACACTTGGGACTGCTTGGGACAAACTTGGGACCCTTCTTGTCTCTATTTGTCTCTATTATGTGCGTACCGAGGAGGATAGAAGTGGTGTCTCGTACAGTATGGCACTGCACCGAAGTCCGGGGTATCAAGGACCGTATAGCGTATGGGTAGGTAGATGTATATGTATAAGTATATGTATAGGTATAGGTATAGGTAGTGGTATGGGTATAGGTATGTATTGGTATTGGTATAGGATGCAAAAAGATGCGCAACGCAGGGCAGGGAAAGGCAAGGTATATATATCTCTCGCGCTATATATATATATATATATATATACACACACACACACGAAGAATGTATGTATGTACGTGCCAGTCTCAGCTGTCGGTAGGTTTCGATGTAGAAGTGTTTTATTATAGGTGTGTAGAAAATGATTGAGGTGATTGATTAAGAGTCCTACGCCTCTACTCTACTCTCGTACAGTGGAGTAAGTACGGACTCAACAAGTCGGTCGTAGGTACCCTATACAAAATATTGATGGTGGAGCAAAAAAGATCCGAGTCGGCGTTAAAACATTGGCATTGGTTGACATGACCTGGGCGGCACTACTTTAGCATAAGATTGTCACTATTTTCGAAGGGCGGCGTCGATACTTAAATACAAGAAATAAATACAAGAAATAGGTACGTACGTAGGGGATAGATGATGGAAAGATGGGGGGTGGGAGATGGACCGGAGAAAGGCAATCCCATCATCATAGCCCACTACAACCACGACCAGGAAGGAGCCCACAAGAGCCATCCAAGACTTATGACTGGCTTGCGGACACTTTGACTGGCTTCATAAAGAAGGTTCCTTCTCGGCCTAACTAGCTAATTCAACGTGCCGCGTATCCATCAGGTAAAAGCAGCCAAAGTAGCCAATACCCGCCAGAGAACACCACCACTTGTTGCGACGGCTGCCACAGTTGCGTGCTCGGCGCTGCGCTATGTGACAAATGCCACGATACTTGGCATCTGTGGTGATCTCTTGGGCTTGGGGACACTTTTGATAAAGGGGGGGGGGCTGTGGTCGACGGGGACGACGACAGGAGGACGGCGAGGCAGAAAACGACGACGATGATCGATGATCGATGCACGAAGTAAGGGGAAAGAGCGACGCCGAGAGAAAACGGTTGAGGGGGAGATGTCACACATGATGGCTTGGTAGATGGCTCTGAATGGCTCTGTATGGTTCTGTGCTGCTCTGAATGGCGCTGTAGGGCTCTGTATGGCTTGATATCCTCAAGATGCCCCATTCCGGCTTATATGCCGCCCACAGCACACCCCAAAACTCCAAAAGCCAAGAAGTCGATCGCTGGGTTGATGACGACTCTGTGGCGACCGAGACGGCCGGGAACGCTCCTTCCCTCGATCGTCGTCGATGCTTGGCGCGCATCCACCCGTCTTCACCTCCTTTTGCCAAATCACAATAAGACAAGTAAAAGACATTGTTGAGATTTGAGAGTTGAGATGTGGTTATTAATGAGGCTGTTCAGAGCTATTCAGAGCTGCTCAGAGGCTGTTCGCATTCCTTATCAGTAGCACCCGAAACAACGTTACGAGTGATGTTTAACCAAGCACTTGGCGGCAATTTTACTTTCTTAATTCGAATCGCACAGCCTCTCTTGTGTTTCTCATGATCTCATGCCGCGACCATCAACGGCGGAAATTGAAGCTGGAAACGGGAGGAGACAGCAGGTAGAACGGGAGTGGAGGGGAGTATGATCTATCCTATCCTTCCTCGTACCTCCCCCTTACTTTCCCCCGTTAGTCATTCCACTGTCCACTGAAGACATTATGAGCGCCGACCCGCGTGGGACGAGAGATACGCACTGTCGCTTCAATCTCATTAGTAAATTCACGGACAACGGCACACATCTGTTGGAGAACAGTCAGAAATTAAGTAATTAATTATGAATGACGCCCATTAATTAATGCTGACTGACGGCTCGCTCGGCTACCAGATCTATCCTCCAGCCAGCCAAGAGTCGGCGCTTACAGCGTCTTTTGATGCCTTTTTCAGATCCGATAGATACACCCACTTTCCCTCTATCATTTCCTATCTCACCCATACTGATATGATAAACCTTGCCTACCTTACATATATATGTATGTAGGCCGCTCCATCGGGCTCCAAATCACCCATCAACACATCACCTACCCCGCGATGCGCGCGTGTGCGTGTGCGATGCAGACATCCAAGCGGAGCAGCGCACCTTTCTTTTTCCTCCCGACCCCCGCCCTCCTCCCTCGCCGACAGCCATCCAGCGCGGGCCACGATGACCTCCAAATCTCCCATCCCAGCTATTTACCTCACTTCTTACCTCACCCTCCCTCCCGTCCCGCCCATCGCCATCTACATATTACATATGCGTCCGTCCATTGTAGGTCACGGCCGCCCCATCGCTACACCGTCCGTCCGCGTCGCTTTCGAATCTATCAGGCGAGGACACACACGGGTACGGGATAGGTAATGATTATGTACAGTACTGTACCCGTAAGCGTATCGTGGTGCGGAGTTCAACAATAGAACGGCTTAGGGCAGCGATGGGGGCTACGTCCCCCTCCCCCTCCCCCTTCCCAGATCCCAAGGGGATCTCGTTTTAGATCTACGGGCGGATATGACCGGGAATGTCGGATTGGCATGCGTTTCCTTCACACATGATTGCATGAGAGGCGTGGGGGTCTCGCGACGTCGCTCCGTTTTCTGACGCCCCCCCGGCATTCGGGGCGGCCTGTGGTGGGCGAAGGGCGTACGTGTCTGGACCCGACGCCCGCCGCCGCCACTGTAGATAGATACGATACGTTTACGATATTACACGGTACGGTGCAGTTGCAGGATGCAGCTGGAGTGAGGAGATGAGAGGAGAGAGGATAGAGGAGAGTCAGATGCCTCTCCTTGCTTGCTTGGGCGCGCGTCGGGAACATAAATATAAGGTAGGTGAAGCGACGGAGGTCCGACTCGTAAAAACGTGTGAGGCATTTATGCCGTCGCGTCGACTGGATGGGATGGGGATAGGGATGCGTGTCGCAGGCTGAACTACTTACTCTCCTCTCCATAAACCGCACTTGCCTCAATCGATCCCCTTCAGCCCTGACACCATCTCCCCATCTCCCCATCCATCCCCATCAAATGCACTGGATCGTAGTGGACCCATGGTCCTCCATCAGAACACTCACATGCAGCGCCCATCTGCCTCCCCAATCAAGCTTTCCAAGCACCACCCACCGCATCCAAATGGGCGGTGAGGTCCGCGCCAGCCGGGATGCTGACGCATACAAATCGACAAGGCTGGCTGGATAATACCTGTCCTCGCACAACAGAAAAGAGAATGCCTCGCTGAGCTCTGAGCGCACCCGGCCGCCCCCTCAACAACCGGTCCTGTGCCTGATTCCCCAATCCAGAACGTGCAGCGCGTCCACCAAAGTAACACAGCATCGCCCCTTACTTACCTTGCATCCCCCCACTACGGCCCTACCAATCACGTGCGCCGCGTTCGGACCCGTCCAACTAAACTGCGTGCTTGCGAGCCTGTCGTGCTCCGTGCGGTGTCCAACAGCAGCACCGCGCGATGAGGAAACCTTGAGGCTCTCCACAGGCCGGCGTGGCGGAGGGCGCAGGGGCGCGGTCCAACCAACTAACTGTGGGCTGTGGGTTGGCGATGTGGGTTGGACGGTTGCGGTGTGCTTGCACACGACACTGGTGGAGTCGGGTATGGCGGCGCTGTGAGGTGAGGCTGGTTTTTCTTCACCGTGGCACTGCGTGGGCGGGATGTCTACGTGGGTTGGGATTTCGGGGGCGATGGGAGATGGGGATGGGGGGGTGAGGCTGCACGTGGGATGGATGGGACAGAGATGTGCATTTGGAGAGCGATTTTTTGTAGTTCCAATCCTGAATAGAGTAGAGTAACACAGTCACCCGTGTCGTGTGCATGCGCGCGATTTAGGCTTGCTGCGGATTTTGATAGGATCCTCGGGCCGCTTCGTCCAAGCAGCATTGCCTCGCGATAGGGAGGGAGGGATTTGACGATGTGTTGAGGTAACAATGCTGTGCCTGAGCGACGAGGTGGGTGCGAAAACGGCGCGGAAGGATGGATGTCTTGTCGAGAGTTCGGGTGTGTCATGTGTGTCATCCCGAAGTCCTTTGCTTCTATGCTGGTCCCCGATATATCCCTTCGAGAATAGAGTTTTGCTGCAGAGATGTGAGATGCCATGGGATGATATTCTGGATGCTTAGATGGCGTATCCTCTCGAGACCGAGATTGTGCTTATACATAGAGTTACAGTGGTTAGCTTTACAGATTGTTCTTGCGCTCCTTTCTAGGGAGATTGTCAAGCCCGATCGTTGAAAGGTCAGTAGGGATATGGCATTGTCCATATCATCGACTTCCTCTTCCATCTCCCGGGTATCTCATTCACTTTGTAATGGTCCGGTTTCCGGGAACCGATCCCTGACGACTGTTCATGCACCATTAGATAGATCTACCAGCCAGTCCATGTTTTCGTCGGCCCAAAACGTAGAATCAAGAAACAGTGCTTCGAGTTGCCTGGGATCGTCTTGCCCGGGAAATATGCATTGTCCATCTTCAGATAAGCATAAATTTCGCGCTGTAGCAGATCCGGGGTCTGGTGCAGTACCTGCTAGAGCAACATCATTGGCGTCTAAATCGGCGGCCAAATATGTTAGCCTCGGAAAATACTTACAGAGTTGTAGAAGCACTCACTAAGCTCACTGCTTCGTGTTTCTGATTCCGAAACCTTGTATATTTTTAGAAGGTTCAACAAGCACTTCGACGCTGATGGTACATTTAGTTGCTGGTATTGTTTCAAGGAATCGATGCTCAGCTCCCAAGAATGTCGTAGGGTTGTTAGTTGGTGTGCATCCAATGCATTCCGGAAAGCTGGAGTAATGAAGACAACAGCTAAAACCGTCCCCGCCGTATAAATTGCTATATAAATATGAGACTCGCTGTTAAAAGTATGAGTTGATTCGAGTGAACATACCAAAGACAGTGTACCACGGAGGAGGAAGTAGCCATGTGCCTATATGCGGATGTATGACTTCGAGAAGCTCTTGAGCTGCTAACCTACATGTTTCCACACATCCCAGGCCTAAGGTTTGCTCTAATCTTGTCGTTGTTGACTTTTGTGGCTGGACAAAACTCTCAGCGGCTAGTCGTACCACTACCCTTCGAAACAGTAAAATTCTAGAATATAAGAGTCTGCGACGTGATATCAGTAACCATGACAAGCAGTAAATTTCATTTCAACTCACCGATGATGGAGCAGATGTGCTTGTCGGACAAATAAATCAGTAGGATCGCCACTTTGATTGTCAATACCGAAACGGAGGTAGGACGGTAGCCCCTGTTTCCAGCTCTCCAGCTGGGCATCAAGCTGAAGCAGTGAGTTGTAGTCTTTCTCAGGTTTTAATCCCACTGCTGTACCGGGAGTTGTCGTATAATAAAGTCTGCCCACAAGCTGTCAACTACTGTTTTTCTCGTGGCAGATTTTCAGGGGGCAACGAAACATGAGATTTTTACCTTAGTATCTCCGCAGTAATATCGGAAAGCGTTACAATGGACGCAAAGTATGCTGACTTGCACGGAATCCCGAGAGGGTGTTGTCTGTCTGCCTCATCTACATCCACGGCAAAATATTCGTCATCGATCATTTGCGGCAGCGTTGTATGGTGTTGCGAATGCAGCATTGATGGGCGCCCGAAGGTCATAGCGTGAACCCTTAGACGATTGATTAGTTTATTTTAAGTTGCCTTTAGGTGCCTCTTATTTCCTTACCTATCGAGAAGAATGCAAACACACCAAGTCCTCCTCCTCTCCTCTCTTTTTGCTTGGCTTTCCCTCCCGACACCGACGTGTATGTTGATGCTCTGGGCTAAACGTATCGCCATTCCAAGGATCACCCAACCCTTATTAGACAGCTCTAAAGTTTGGATGTATTGAACTGTGATTAGCAGGGATTGAACAAGTTCTATAGACCCATCGTCTAAGAGATCCAAAGTCATGAGCTTCATGGCGCGATCAAAAAACGGCTGCCTAGAATTCAGGTCGCTAGAAAGCTGGCCCTGGCCAGATATTGACATGAACCTACAGCCAAGTGCGAATACAATGTTGAGCATAAAGTGGAATACTAATTCGGAGTTACGAGAGCTCTCTCCGTCGTTTTCTGATGTAGATAGAGTACCACTCCAAAGTCTCTCATAACTGTAAACATAAACAAATGAGACAATGCGATTGTTGGCATCGTATGACCGTGAGGATAAACATACCGTGCTAAAAAAGCCGACTTATGAATGATGGGAAGTAATGGGTGAGCTCCAACCCAATAACTTCGGAGCAAGCTGTCTGCGGTACGCCTCGGTGGTAACACAAGATCTACTCCTAGAACTATCGAATCTTGATCTCCTCTGCTATTGCCAGCGAACCATGATGACGGTGAGGATTCCGGAGCCTCAACTGCAATATATCCTCTACTGAGGGTCTTGGTTGCTAATGCTTCAGCGGGTTTCAACGTCTCGATAACTTCTTCCATAAAACCCACTGCGCTAGCTCGGCCCAGATATGGCGGGCTATTGTCAGTAGCGTTTTGACGCTCGACATGTTGCTGTGAGGTGGGAGTTGGGACCGAAGCAATTCTCGGACTGTGTCCATGGCCAGATTCGAGCTCGGCAATTCTGTTCTCAAGTGCTTTTGTGTAGCTAGGTAAGACATGCAAGGTTAGAACAAAGAATAGCAAAAATGGGGTTGATAGTAGATATAAGAATTTGAAGCACTCGATGCATACCTGTCGTCGCGAGCCGCATGATTGTCGGTTGAGGAATGAGTGGAGTATGAACAACGCTCCGGGGGTAACTTTTTACGGAGGCACGAACGACAGACAGGTCGTCTTCCATCACAACGAATCTTCCGGTCACGACATTCCTCACAGGCTAACTTGTTCTTGAGGCGTCTAGGCGCTTGCTCTACGCCGCAATTTTGGGAATTAAACTCCTGCCGCCGATCATCTAGGATGTGCTGCATCTCCATATCAACTTAAACGCTTGGTACGGGAAGTCATCGGGGGGAGTCTTTTTTAGGAAGGCGGGGATGAAACAAGAGGAGGAATGATGCCAAAACCCGACCGGGGAACGTGGGGGACTAGGAACCGAGAACCGGGGAACTGGGACCACTAGTGCGAAGTGGGGTGCGGGTAATGACTGAGCAGATGCTACAAACCAGTTCGCCAACTTACCCAAGACCTCTTATGACGGAATGTGAGACTGGTGAAGATATAACTGAAATTATCGCGAGGGGTGAGACCGTTGGATCCAAGGTAATAATCCCGAGGTCTGTTTTGTGTATTTTAGACTGTGTTATTGCTATGGATCTCATCTTTGACCTCTGTTAAACGTTAACAATAGGCAAGATCGCTACTATTATTAGACATAGGCTCTTTATATTCTCAAATTATAAAAACGATCTATATGACGTCTAATTATCCGGGAAATGCGGCACTCCAACTTTGCTAACGTCAAGAATCATGCCTTGCTCTAACAGGCGCTTCTTCAAGTCTCCGTAAGGGACATTTTGAAGAGGGATCGATTTCTTCAACGCAATGTCGCATGCGTTGGCACAAGCTTGTCCTAGAGCATAAAATTGATGTTCCAGACGCACAGCACCTAGAATTAGTCAGTTTAACTTTGATTTTGACTTGCAGGATCAATTTCTGGTGCTTTAGAGTTCACATACCATAGCCTACATGCGACGATGAAGGGCAAGTTGCCGTAATGATATTCGTTGCTTCTTCCTGTCGTGGCACCAAAGCACGGTACGCAATTCCAAATGGTCGCCAGCGATGACCATCTTTGAAGATGAACCCTTCATTGTGCACCTTGCCATCGCGCAAGATTCGGCGCACACAATGTGTGTCTGTCGGCCAATATGCCACGCCGACCGGGTCTTCCACTGGCGTTTCGCCATTATCCATTGACGCAGTGTGTTCTGTAATCACATAGTCCGAAACCATGCGTCGTGCATCACGAATATAGAGCATCCGCGGGAAGTGATTGTTGTCTGGGAATTCGTCTAGGCAATAACCAAAGCGGGACCATTCTTGACGGAATTCGAGCTGAAACACTGTTAGTTCAATGCCTTCTGTTGCAGTTCCAGTATTGTCACTTACAGGTAAGGAGTCATCGTTAGCAAAGAAATACATAAGGCCTTTCGTAAATCGTGCTGTATCCTCGAGAATTTGCTTTCGCTCCTCTTCAGACCCTGTTACCCAGCCATCATTCATTCCAAGAAGATCCGTCGCCAGAGGTGCCTCCGATCCAATCAAGTCTGTTTTTTGCCCTGGAAGTCTAACCTTAGGGGTATATAGCTTTCCGCCAGAGTTGACGAAACGTCTGTGCAGTTCGAAATGGGCTGGATTGTACCCATCTGGCTTGTAGAATGGCAGTCGATTCTCGACGGCATCTGTAAGTGGAAGACGGTAGGAAAATGCAGCAAGATGTTTGTCGCCGTCACCCGCTTTGCCAAACGGTTCGGTGGATATCCCGTAAATTAGCCCGCTAGAATGATCTTTTGGGATCTTAAATGGATCAATGTCCACGGTCAATTGCGTGTAAGGCGTGTTTTCTCGAACGCCAGCCAAGCTCTCGTCGAAGGTCGAACTTGACTCTCGTCCGTGTGTAGTAGTGACTTTTGATGCAGCTAGCAAGTCTCCTTCATACGAAGCTTCAATGAAAACCTAAGGCTGTTAGCATAGTAGTGTCCTAGGTTCGTTCTCCATCTTACCTTGCCGGACACAATTTGTTTAGTCCGGAGTTTGATCGAGCAGACTTCAGCACCTTTCTTGATTACAGAATCTGTAGCAGCTAGGCTTCCCTATGTCGTATTAGGTAGATGGCCGCTTTGTAGGATCGAGTAGCACATACAAATATTATTCTGATGTTGTCAAATTCCGCAAGCCACTCGAGGATTACTTTCTCAGCAACCCTTGACTCAAACCGCCACACTTCGGTATCCTTGATGTTCTTTGCAACCACCTCTTCAAGACGTGGCAGTCTGTTGTAAAAAGTACTGATTCTCCGATGAAATTCCAAAGCAAGCCCTCCCACGGTGGTGCTGTTAAACACCTCGTCTTGGTTGTCAATGTCTGTTGCCCCAAGACCCTCAATCTGGATGCCACCTGCATGTCAACCAATTAATGGAGTTTCTTCTAAACATATATATCTTGACTTACCGATATGTTCTTGCGGACTTACCAGTGCGACATTAAGTCCAAGCTTTGCGCTCTGAATTGAAGCTGCCACAGCACCAGAAGTAGAACCATAGACTACAACGTCAAAGGTGGGTGTATGTGCGAAGATCGCCATGATTCGCAAAAATTGATATATTTTTGATGGCAGTTCAATCAGCAGGACGGGTTTGAGTAGAGACGTCCCAGGAGAGTATATCGCGTGGGGTGCGTCTTAATAATCTTGCATATTGGGCGTTGTTCCATGAATCGTTTCTACCACGGACTAAGAGGCAGGAAAAGTCTTTACCCACATGACTTGCAAGCCCGAGGATATGTTCAGGTTCTAGTTGCGACATTAAAGCACGGAACACTTCAATGAAAACAATATATATCCGTAATTCATGGGGCTGTAATTTGGAAGTGGAGACAAAAGCTTCGGGGAACACAACGAAACCTCGGGGAACAAAATAAGCGTCTCGGATCATGCTCCGAGTGGTGTACTCAACTGCTCCTGGCAACCTTCAACTCCACTTAGCATATCACTAAATCCTTTCTACTGCTGTGCCTGCATTTACATCCTTTCTGGTATTTTACTTTCACATTCTTCCCCGCAATCGGAAGGCCTGAACATGGGCTACAGGAAGCCCTCACTGATGTTTATGCCGTATCATTTGCTACCCTCTCCTCCCCCGCCATCAAAGTGGTATCGGGCTCCACGTTCCCCACTCTGACCCCATCCCCCGCATGCCGATTTAACAACCCCGTCGAAGTATATATACCCTTCCATCTACGTTGGCTTCGCTATTGTAAAATCTATGACAATCTAGTTCTTCTTGTTCCTTCATCATGGCTGGAAAAGGCAACATCTTTGTGAGCCGTCAGTCATGGGCTGCGGCAACCCCACGACTCATCTATGCGTGCTTAGTTTACTCTATGGGAAGCATCTTCTTTGGTAGGTTACCTTACTCTAGTTTTACTATAGATCAAGCTCTAACAAATACTTAGGATAGTTAGCATGCCCTTACAATAATTAAGGAGCGCAACCTGACATTTCCAACAGTGACGGGGCTTCTTTTGCTGGCGTGCAAGCCTTTACTCCTTTTGCACGAAAATTCGGAGAGTTCAACGCAGCCAAACGCATTTACGCCTTACCTCCTGCGCTTGCATCGCTGATGAACAGGTAAGTCTTGAAATTAGCACGTTATTAAGGTCTCTGCTGACGGCTTTAAGCCTTGCTTTAATTGGCAAATTCTTGGGAACTCTGCTCGTCGGGCCCCTGATCGAAAAATTAGGACACAAGAAAACGATGCTCATCACTTGTGTTACTCAAATCGTTGGGGTTATCAGTAAGCTAGAAGACACCATCCTGCTTCTCAGCTGATTAACTAGCGAATAGTCCAGGTTACCAGTTCAACACCGGCGCAATATACAGTTGGTCGAGTCATCATCTACACAGCGGTCGGATTAGTTGAAAATGTAGGTCTTCCACATAGGCTCTAGGTATCGTTCCATACTGACAGTAGATTCAGGTGGTACCCACATATCAAACCGAGATCTCACCTGCTCCTCTACGTGGATTCTTTGTTGGATCAATTCAACTCTTTCTTACGTTTGGGTCACTCATCGCCGGCATCGTCAACAATTCGATGTCAACTAGCAAAACCGATGCTGGATGGATCATCGCTACTGCTTTGCAGGTTCTACCTGCTATAATAATTTTAGTTGGAATTCCATTTACACCTAGTAAGAACCCTTCGCCACACTCTGATTTCCTTATATTAATGATAACCAGACTCCCCCCGCTGGCTCGTTAGTAAAGATCGTAGCGAGGAAGCTCTTAGTGTCCTCCAGAAGCTTCGACGTGAAGAGGATGTAGCAAATGGGATTTGCGAGTTCGAGCTTGCAGCGCTTCGAGAGGAAGGCACGAAGATTACACACAAACAACCTTGGGTGGCTCTGTTTAACAGCAAAAACAGAAGACGAACTGGGTAAATTGAAAAACATGACAATAGATGGTAGCGCTGCTAACGTACTTGCAGCATCGCAGTGAGCATCATGTCTCTTCAACAATTGACTGGTGTTACATTTAGCAGCTCCTATGGCCCTACATTTTACAGACAGGTTGGACTCGGAGGGAAGGCATTTGTCTATGCTGCCGTCAACAACGGAGTATCAGTCGTTACCGCCATCATAGGTATGCTGGCGCTCGATGCATTTGGCCGTCGAGAAGTCACATTCTGGGGAAACTGGATCCAAGCTCTGTTCCTTTGTCTCATTGGTGGTATTGGCTCTAAGGCAAACCGCACCCAATCAGAGACCGATGGGATGGTCGCATCATTCATCCTTTACGCCGCGGCCCTTCATGCAACACTTGGGCCAGCAGCATATATTACGGCTGCAGAGATTGGTACTGCATCTCTTCGAGAGAAGACAATGGCTTTCTCTACTGCCATAAATGTTGTCGTCGGTTTTGTGGTGGTTTTTACGACTCCATATCTGCTCTCTGCGCCTTATGCCAACCTCGGGGCTAAATTAGGATACGTTTGGGGAGGATTTGCTGCTCTTGGTGCTGTGTGGGTATGGTTCTGTATGCCTGAGCTCAAGGGTCGTAACTTGGAGGAAATAGATCAACTCTTCGATGCTAATATTCCAGCGTGGAAGTTCAGCTCTTTTAAAACACAGGGTATGTCGCATGACATGGCACTCTTTGAGAACCAGAATGAAAAACTTGAGATGGATGACCTTGAGCACGCCGAGGATGTCGATGCCAATGCAAACCCCAAGGTTTGAGAGATAGGAATAAGAAATGTTAAAACTTCAAATATAACAAAAATGTAATCCTCGGGAGGCGGCGCCTATTCGCATCAAGCGTAAATACTATGGGGACAAGACGGATAGGTCTTTGGGATTAAGGAGTTGTACCGCCTGACTTAGGAACCCGAGGTTGAGTTGGTGACCCCTTGCATACCTTAGCACTACGCTGTTCTTTGATCACGTTTGTAGATCGTTACACCGCAATATTGTCCATGCCGTTCTTTGTTCATATTAATCAACAAAACAAACATTAACACCTCGATGCACAACAATGTCGTTCATGATAGTTGCATCATCCGCTAACATGGGTGCCGCCATACACATGTATATTCAGCCGTTGATTGCGCTTCTCGCCGTATGTTTGTTTGTGCGCTATAGGCACAAGAAAGTTGAACGGCGCAAGGTCTGGATCCGAAAGCTCTAGAAATTAACGTTCACTAAATGCAATGAAGGCAAATAAAGCACTTGGAGACCTCCATGGTTGCCTTCCAGCCCCCAGACTTCAGAACCAGCGTCCCTTTGGCGTGGATCGCTTGGAACAGATTTTCCGTGCGAACACAGAATCACGATTGATGGAGCTTTTCCTATTTCACTTTCGATAAACAGGATGGACATTGGAGCAGGTGTTTCTGGGGGTTCCAGCGTTTGGAACCGTTGATCCAGCAAACATGGAGGCTATCTTGTCTTCCAACTTCAAAGGTCAGTTTCGAAACCCTGGCGTGCTTTACAACGGTGCTAAGAGCCAAGATAAATACAATGAGAACTAAATTTAATTAGATTTTGGGATGGGACTACGACGTGAGATTACATTTCCCATGTTCGGCGACGGGATATTCACCCAGGACGGAGGTACCTGGAAGCAATCACGAGAGCTGCTTCGACCACAGTTTCACTTCAAGAAGTATGCGGACTTGGATTTTTTTGGAGACGCTTGCGACAATCTCCTAGAAAAAATACCAGCATCTGGTGGTGTTGTAGATCTTCAGCCTCTCTTCTTTCGGCTGGCCCTCGACGTCACGACGGCATTCTTATTTGGGGTGTCAATAGAAAGCCTTAAGGCGGGGGAAGGATCTGGAGAGCAGGCATTCGCAGATGCTTTCAACATAGCACAGGATTATGTTGCTAGGCGGTTTCGACTTCTTGATCTGTATTGGCTGATTGGAGGGAAGAACTTCCGAGATGCGTGCGAGACAGTGCACTCATTTGCGGACAAGATAATTGATCGTAATCTCTCGCACGAGATGACAGACGGTGAAGAAGACCAATATGTCTTCCTACAGGCAATGGCTAAGAAAACACCGAGTCGAACTGCACTGAGAAGTCAAATAATCAACATCTTAACTGCGGGCAGAGATACGACAGCATGCCTTCTATCTTGGACCTTCTTTCTACTTATTAGACATCCGCAGGTCCTCGAAAAACTACGAGACGAGATTTTTAAGCTTGACAGCAACACAGATCTGACTCGAAACAGTCTTCGAAATATGAAATATCTTCAAAATGTTCTCAAAGAAAGTGAGTTCCACAGATTCTTAACCCACGATAATAAGTCCTGAGTTAGCTACCACTTCGTCTTTATCCTCCTGTGCCAGTCAACGCACAAACTGCTCTATGCACAACTATCCTTCCAACCGGCGGTGGGCCAGATCGCACCGCTCCAGTTCTCATACCCAAAGGCAGCTCTGTCGCATACAGCGTGTACACAATGCATCGACGACCCGATCTATATGACATGGATGCCGAACTCTTTCGCCCCGAAAGATGGGACGAACAAATGCCCCTGAGCGAGAACGAGATATATTCAAAATGGGGATATTTGCCCTTTAATGGTGGGCCAAGAATATGCCTTGGAAGTAAGCATCTACAATCTCTCTAGCATCCATCCCCCTTTATGACTGACATTTATTCTTATGTTCTACGATAGTGGACTTTGCGCTCAGTGAAGCGGCATACACGGTCGTACGAATTATACAAAAGTTTCCGAAAATTAAACTGCCTAAGAATGAGCCTTTCGGTCGGGTGGGGGTGGAAAAGCAGAAAATCACAATGGTCATGTCCATTGTTGGCGGGTGTAGGGTCGAGCTGCGATGATTCTATTGTATGAAAGAACAGAACAACAATCTATTCATTTATAGCATCGTAGCAAAAGAACAGTCACATACGACCATAGACTCAAGAGAATTGGGCATCCCGTCCGCTCTGCCATACACAAGCTTGAGATCGGTGGATTAGTAGTTGGGTGGGTGACCACCAGCGAATACCCACTGTTGTATGTTTTTGCCTTTTTAGCACTTTTTTTTTTGGAGGCTTTTTAAACCTCTTCTATTTATATTTTAAGATATGTACAATGTTAGTCAATGGTCAACGTACAACATCATGCGATTAGGCCCGAGTTTAGCCGCCTTGGTATGGGCACGCGAGCATATCTGAGTAAGTTCTGTGGGATATATTGTGGGATGTATACCGAGTACGAATTTGTTTTTACTTGGCACTCGTCATATATCTGGGCCAACAACTGGACTCTTCGCACTGTTGCCACCCCATTAACCAAACAGGATGGCGGAGATATCAACGTGGATAACACAAGGTCGCAATGGGCGTTATCTAGTTTTCTCCACGATATCTAGAGTTCCACTGATTGTATTACCTACCGTTGTTATGCGTGTCTTCTTTTTCATCTTCTCTTTCATTTTGTGTCTCCAAGATTGTAGGCCAAGACCAGGCCAAGACTAAGCCAAGTCGGACTTCTTGCTACCTTGAAGACTCATCCTAAAGGTTTGGTGGAGCACGAATTCCTCTGTTGGTACTTCCAAGACTACATATACAGTAGTTGTTGCTGCTGCTCGTACAACTTCTCTTCCATTGTTAATTATTCTTGGTCGCGTGAAAAACAACTGTCACATTTCGTTTGCTGTATTTATTTTCTCTACATAATGGCCAAAGATAAGGGCCTGGACGGCGGTCCGCAAGCTGTGTTTGCACATGCACTGACAATTGACGAAACTCGAGATCAACTTGAGACAAACCTCGAAGACGGTCTTGCACGCAGCCAAATCTCCTCTCGCGCGGAGAAATGGGGACGCAACGAGCTCGACGATGGACCGGGTGTGCAACCCATCAAGATCCTGGTCCATCAGATTGCAAACGCAATGATTCTAGTTATGAGATCCACAACCCCCTTTCAAAGAGTCGGCCATCTGATGTAATTACTTAGGTGCTGATCATGGCCATGGCCGTGAGTTTTGGTATCAAATCCTGGATCGAAGGTGGCGTTATCGCCGCTGTCATCGTCCTCAACGTCGTCGTTGGGTTCTTCCAGGAGTTCAGCGCTGAAAAAACGATGGACTCTCTACGGTCTCTTAGCTCTCCTACTGCTGTGGTCGTTCGAGATGGCAAGACAGAAACTATCCCCACTGGTGATCTAGTGCCCGGTGACAAAGTAGAGCTTAAGACTGGAGATACTGTTCCTGCGGATATCCGGTATGCAATTGTCGATCGATTATAAACGCACACATACTGACTTAGTGAAAAGATTAGTCGATGCTATGAACTTCGAGACAGACGAGGCTCTCCTCACAGGAGAGTCCCTCCCAGTTGCAAAAGAGGCCAAGGTCATCTTCGACGCTGATACTGGCCCGGGTGACCGCCTCAACGTTGCATACAGCTCATCTACCGTTACCAAGGGCCGTGCAACAGGTATCGTCTATGCGACTGGCATGAGAACCGAAATTGGATCTATCGCACTGGCACTGCGGGCTACTGACAAGAAAACCCGTGAACCTAGGCGCAGCAAAGATGGCAAGGTCAAGCCACACAGATACCTTGAAGCATGGGGTCTGACTGCCGGCGATTTTATTGGCAAGTTTCTTGGGACAACTGTTGGCACTCCCCTTCAAAGGAAGCTGTCCAAACTGGCTATCCTCCTCTTCGGTACCGCCATTGTCTGCGCCATTATCGTCTTGGCTGCCAATAAGTTCTCGAACAACAACGAGGTCATAATTTATGCAGTCGCCACAGGCTTGTCTATGATTCCTGCGTCATTGGTTGTGGTGTTAACGATCACAATGGCAGCTGGTACCAAGAGAATGGTTTCCCGTAACGTTGTAGTTCGCACGTTGGATTCCCTCGAGGCTCTCGGTGCTGTGACCGATATTTGCTCCGATAAAACCGGTACACTCACCCAGGGCAAGATGGTTACCAAGAAGGCTTGGGTTCCAGCTGTGGGCACTTACTCCGTTGGTACATCCGAAAACCCCGTCGACCCATCGATTGGTGATATTAGCCACAGCGCTTTTGCCCCATCCAATGTCCCCCAGGGAGATCATGAGAAGGTTACGCCATTTGCCGACCTCCTCGAAGATAATACTCACCTTAAGGACTTCCTCAATGTTGCATCGCTTGCTAATCTTGCTCGTGTCTACAAGAGTGAAAATACCTGGAAGGCTCGCGGGGATCCAACTGAAATTGCCATTCAAGTTTTTGCGTCTCGCTTTGACTGGGGCCGCGACCGTTTCACCAGTGGAGATGAGCCCGAGTGGTCCCAAACTGCTGAATTTCCTTTTGATTCTGACGTCAAGAAGATGTCGGTCATCTTCGAGCACAAGGATGGAAGTTCCATGGTTTTTACCAAGGGTGCTGTTGAGCGCGTCTTGGGATCCTGCACAGAAGTTCACTGGGACAATGACCAAGGTCTTATTAAGATGACCGAGGTTTTCAGAGAGGAAATTCTATTAAACATGGAGGCTCTTGCTAAGCAAGGTCTTCGTGTTTTGGCTCTTGCAAGCAAGGAATATACTGTTCCCGCGGGCAAGAATGCGCCACTTGACCGCAAGGTCATTGAAGAGAACTTAACTTTCCGTGGTCTTGTTGGCTTGTATGATCCTCCAAGACCAGAGTCAGCCGGCGCTGTCGCGGAATGCCACCGGGCTGGTATCGCAGTTCATATGTTAACTGGTGATCATCCTGGCACCGCAAGGGCCATTGCTCTTCAAGTTGGCATCCTTCCTGAGAATATGACGTCTTTTGCCAAGGACGTCGTTGATTCTATGGTCATGACGGCCAGCGCATTCGATAAGCTCTCCGATGACGAGATTGATGACCTGCCTGTTCTTCCTCTTGTTATTGCTCGTTGCTCCCCAACAACAAAAGTCCGCATGATCGATGCGCTCCATCGCCGCAAATGCTTCGCTGCTATGACCGGTGATGGTGTCAACGACTCCCCATCTCTCAAACGCGCTGATGTTGGCATTGCCATGGGCCAAGCCGGTTCTGATGTTGCAAAGGATGCTTCTGATATTGTTCTTACTGATGATAACTTCGCTTCTATTCTCAACGCCATTGAGGAGGGGAGACGTATGTTTGACAATATTCAGAAGTTTGTTCTCCATCTCCTCGCCGAGAATATTGCACAAGCTTGTACTCTTCTTATTGGTCTTGCCTTCAAAGACCAGTCTGGCCTCTCGGTTTTCCCTCTTGCGCCTGTTGAAATTCTCTGGGTTATTATGATCACTTCTGGTAAGCTTGTCCATTTATTTCCATGCCCGTCCTGTCACTAACCATTTTTCAGGTATGCCCGATATGGGCCTCGGTGTTGAAATTGCAGCCCCAGACATCATGCAACGCCCACCGCAGTCTCTCAAAACTGGCGTCTTCACTATGGAAGTAATGGTCGACATGGTCGTCTATGGCCTATGGATGGCCGCCCTCTGCCTTGCCGCCTTCTCCATTGTCCTCTTCGGCTTCGGTGATGGCAACCTCGGTATCGGCTGCAACGATGCTTACAGCGAAGTGTGCGACACCGTCTTCCGCGCTCGGGCCACGACTTTTGTCTGCCTCACATGGTTCGCCCTTTTCCTCGCCTGGGAGATGGTCAACATGCGCCGCTCGTTCTTCCGCATGCAGCCCGGATCCAAGAAGTACTTCACCCAATGGATGCACGATGTTTGGCGCAACCAGTTCCTGTTCTGGGCCATCATGGCGGGATTCATCACCGTCTTCCCCGTCCTCTATATCCCGGTCATCAACCACGTGGTCTTCAAGCATACTGGGATTAGCTGGGAATGGGCCATTGTGCTCATCGAAGCAATCCTCTTCTTTGCTGGTATTGAGACTTGGAAATGGGGTAAGCGTATCTTTTTCCGCCGCAGAGCTGCGAAGCTTGCAGCCGCTGGTGGTGGCGACCTCCAGCGTAATATGTTCTCGCAGTTCTTGACAATGAGCGAGAGCCCCAGTCAGGAGAAGGCCGCCGAGCAGGGACGAGCTGGCGCTGGGCAACAGCAGCAGCAGGTGGAAATGCAAGGACAAAGGATTGAGCAAGCTCAATAACAACAATTGGTGGTCCTAGAATGTTCACCTAGGACAACGCAAGGCTGGTTTGCCTCATCCAGCAATGCTGATGGGGAAGACCGGTCTTGTTTTGGCATGGGAAAGTGGAAAGGCGAGAGTTGTGCTGTAGTGCATGAGAGTTCTTTGGGGGGTAGAAAGGGGCGATTAGTAAGTTCAGTGGTGAATTGTTTCTTTTGTTTTGCGTACAAGTGGGGGTGTGGTTACTTTAAACCACTCTATATAGATCGTTTGCGTGAAAATGTGCTATCTTGTGGTCTACGCCGCGAGATTCTAGATGAATATAATCCGCTTGCCTTAGGTCTATCTATTGAATGAAATGATACGTGGGCGAGTTGCATCCATACCTAACTTTGTTGGAACCCAAACAATGCATTCTTACGGCAAAGGGGATGTCTCACGTCTACGACCAATAAGAGGCTGTATATTATAACGGTTACAAATGTTAGAAATGACATCAGACTGAAGTATTGATCAATGGAGTACAAAATTGGCTTCAGGTTCCTGAGAAGAGTGCGATGGAATTAGTAGTTCATGTCAATTTTGTGGAAATTTTACCAAAGACCTTATTAATCACAAACAAAGCCAACAAAACTAGAGGGATGTATTGATGTCTTCCGACCAAAATCTCCAAGAGAGGAAACTGCCCGGTTGTAACGGCCCAATTATTCGCGATCCTGATGAGAAAATAGCAACGCCAAACAGAGGACATGCGAAACACTTCGAAAATGCGACTTCTGAGGTCATTGCCAGCCCTATATCAAAGAACCAAGATGCCGATCTCTCTGTTGGAAAAGAGGAGGGAGGACGCGCTACAGTTCTCCGTACTACATCAACCAGTCAATCTTGAGCGAGACACGGTTCACAAATGACAGAAGAAGAGTTCAAGGAGCGTGAGAAACAAATCTCGCACCTACGAGAGAGAGTGGGATTATCAGAAGATCCTCACATAAGACCAGAACAAGAGTCAACGAATCGCTTTAGCTGGCCCAGCTTTCGGGTCGTATTCCGCGAACCATTTGCAGAATTCTTTGGCACCATGGTAATGGTGATGTTCGGCAATGGGAGCGTAGCTCAAGTTCTTTTGGGCGGGGGTGAAATAAATGCTCCAAGGAAAAATGGATACGGAAGCTATCAGGGGATCAACTGGGGCTGGGGTATAGGTATCTTCTTTGGTATCTATATTGCAGGCGACTCAGGGTGTTACTTGAACCCCGCCATTACAATGGGGTTCTGCCTCTTTCGAAAGCTACCATGGAGGCGTTGTCCTATTTATTTCCTAGCTCAGTGTCTAGGAGGATTTGTAGGTGCTGGCGTGGTCTATGCTAATAATGTGAATGGCATCGATAAATTTGAAGGACATGGGATTCGAAATGTCCCCCCATCGCCGACTACTATAGCAGCAATATTCTGCACATATCCACAGCCATTCCTCGCGAAAACGAGCCAGTTCGTTTCCGAGTTCGTCGCAAGTTCGATCCTCATGTTTGCCATTTTTGCATTGAAGGATGTCTCAAATCCCGGCGCCATGGGGAAGTCTGGCCCAGGACCGCTATTTCCCCTTGGATTATTCTTTCTGATTTTTGGACTTGGAGCCGCCTTTGGGTACGTTAACACACATCAAGGTGCTGCAGCCTCTGGCTTATATTCTCTAGCTGGGATACCGGATACGCCATTAACCTTGCTCGTGACTTTGGACCCCGTCTTATGTCATATATTCTTGGGTATGGTCCGGGGGTCTGGTCTGCGGGTGGCTATTATTTCTGGATTCCTATGGTGGCCCCCTTCTGTGGATGTGCGTTTGGGGGTTTCTTGTACGACGCCTTTATCTACACCGGCTCCGAAAGCCGGCTGAATCGACAGTGGTGGGGACTTAAAGAGCTGTACGATAACAGGCACCGACTAATGAAGAGGGGGCATTTAAACAGTCGAAAGCATGAAGTCTAAAGACAGGTTTTTAATAACTGATATCAATTTATTGTTATTTCTGTTGTTATAACCGCAAGCTGAAGATATGTTAACAAAAGCAAGATAATCGACAGTTACAGTGCCTGTAACAATATTTCCCCTTCTCGCACTCCTCGCTTCCAGCTCAGCCAACTCTCTATCTCCCAGACATTTAACGCCCGATGCCTCGTATCCAACTCCACCATCACTTCAAACCTAAAGTGTCAGTGGATCCATGCTCGACTCCGTGTCATCCACAACGGCTCGTCGGTAGCCCCTGCGCCGTTTTTGAGCCTGTCCGTTATCTCGGTCCTCCATCGAAGGCGACAGTCGGGCCTTAGCCCGTCTTGAGGCCATCTTCCTGCTCTCCTCGCGAAGGTGGCCCAACGAGTTCCGGATTGCTGTGAGGCGTGCACTCATGCCCCAGTCGAGTATATTCAGGACGTACCTGCGGAATTTGAGGAAATCCATGGGTCTTTGGAGGAGGAAGCTATCGACGATTGCAGTGTGGTATTTAAACTCGTCGTGCTTCCAGGTAACGTAGAGGCGCGCCTCGGAGCCATTCATAGCTATACTAAAAGATGTGCTATTGGGTAGACCGACGTCAATATTACCGCCTTTAATGTCGTCGTTGTTATCGTTGCACTGTCTCAGGAGCTGGTTAAATCGCTCAACTATGTTGACGCACGATGCAGAGGCACCTAGGCATTGGTTCGTTGCAACCCATAAGCTCCCTCGACTGACTGGACCATCCCCCTTTTGCTCTATTGCGAAGAAGGGAAATACCAAGCCGTCATTGTTACCAAAGACCGGGATCACCATTGAATTAAGTTGGACTTGTTCTTCGTCGGTGAAAGCGCCTAACCAGTCGTAACCGTAGAGAATATCAGGGACTGGGATGCTAACCCTCAATTCTGAATCGACGCCTGGGACAACAAGCTTAGACATTGGCAACTTGAGGCTTCCCTTTAGGATATCTGTCTGTTCGGACACCAGGAATAGCTGTTCCTGGAAATATGATGCGACCTCGCTCTCTGCGGAACCCGTTCTAAGCTTTGCTAGTCGCTTATCCGATTGTATTTGACTTTCCAATGGCCCTATCGGGTTGCGATATTTCCATAGATGATTGACGAAGTCTGAAATATTCCCTGGCAAATGGTTGTACGAAGGGAGTAAATCGATGCCGTTCTGCTTTAAATGTGCCCTATACATAGGATTCTCAACAAGAGATTGCCTACTTAACATAGTAAAGGTTGTAGATGCATCTTCTGGCGTAGCTGATCGAGAGCATGAACAATCGTCGCAATGAGTACCGTGATCCTCTCCGTTCCGACTAGATTGTATCAGAGGTATGGCAAGTGCCTGAGCAAACTTTTCGGTATCTCGAGTTCCCCCTTCGACTGGCGCCGAGTTTGTGCAGTTTCGAGGGATAGGGATGTTGCCAGAGTAGGTAACTTCAGAGTGATTTTGGATCGAGTCTGAGTGGGAGCGTCGTTCCTGACAGGATCCCAATTTTGATCCCGAAACGGGCTCCAACCACCGTTTGACACTGTCAATAGCACGCTCTCTGGTGCATCCGTGAATGATTTGGCTCTTTGATGGCGGGATACTCTCTGGGACTGTGGCACGAAGGTGCTTCGAGTGTAGAGGACTTCGCTGTAGCTCAGTGGGCTGAAGATTATATAGTTAGGTTCTGATTGGTATAGTGAGAATTTCCAATACGCACCTTTGGGACTTCCACTATCTCTTTGTTCTCGATTTGTGTATTATTGGGCGCGCGGATTTGTTCTGGGAAGGTTTGAAGGCTAGAAACTCGCTGATGCACAAGTGAGTGATTTCGACGTGGCTGTCGAGCTACGGGGTTTAACTCTGTCATGATTACCATGGGCAAAGCATCACATTAATAGCCGCTTTACATCGAAGTGTTGGAGATTTTGTCTTACAGCTTGGTCGCCGAACCATGGCTTCTAATAAGACGAGACGTTTTGCTTTGTTACCATAGCGTGTCATGCTTCTTTGTCGACTATCAAATGAGAACAGCGCTTGAACTACAATCAGTTAACCCGAGACAACCAGATTCCAACTGCAACCAAAATTAGACTGTAACAGTCATTCGACCTTTTGGTCTTTGTTTGATCCAAAGGTCAGGGTTTGTGACCCCTGCCTCGAGGCATCACAGTGAGAACAAGACGAGACGTTTTGCTTTGTTACCACAGCGTGCCATGCTTCTTTGTCAACTGTCAAATGATAACAGTGCTTGAACCGCAGTCGGTTAACCCGAGACAACCAGATTCCAACTGCAACCAAAATTAGACTGTAATAGTCATTCGACTTTTTGGTCTTTGTTTGGTCCAAAGGTCAACGTTTGTGACGCCCGCCTCGAGGTATCATAGTGAGAACAAACGACAGGGGATCTACGAGGCAGCTACGGAATCCTTCAGCTCTGCAGGTCGGCAAAGGGAGTGGAGTAAAAATTCAAAAAGAATAAGGTGAAACTCTCACTTCACCCTATTCTTTTGACGTCTTGAGTAGGGAAAGTTAACTCGTCTTGGTCGGAAGAACCGTCTCTGAGTCCACTCTAGGTTCTAGGACTTGATAGGTCCTCCTTGGGAGATTATGATTTACGCAGCAAGAGAGTAATACTGTGTGGGTCATGATACAAGTATATACTACTTGAAAAAGCTTAATTCTCATTAATTAAAAGATAGATAGTTAAGGCGAAATAACGAATGCAGACTTTGCGCACGTTCAGCTTGCAAGTAGTTAGGCAAAGAACTTTTGTAACCAGAGGACAGAACCTAAATAGACGAGACTGACGGAATATTTGTCATAGTTTAGACCAGAGTTCAGAATACTTTTTAACATGTCCCCAAAGGCATCTCCTTTAAACCCTCAAAACGCCCGCATGGCCGATGGTTGCCATGACTGCGCGAGGAACCGTGGGGAAGAACCAATCACGAACGCGCAGTGTGTTACCGCCACAGAATGTTGCACCGACGCAAACATTTTTAACGCAACAGCTGTTAACAATGCAAACCTGACCGGATGAACAATCGGAGTTAGCGTTGCAAGTTGGGAGGCCGTCGCAAGGTGTTTGACCATCGACGCAAAACCCAGTGCCTGCTGTGGTACTGCCACAGACACAAGATCCACCAGGGCCACATGGCCCGAATGTGGAACACGTCTTGCCGGTGCAGCTTGGAGTTGTGCAAGCCCCATTGTTGCACACGCCAGATGCACACTAATTTCTCATTATTAGCATTCAAGTGTATTTATTTCGGTTTGATACTCTGTTGGGAGTGTCCGTACCTTCTTTCCACAGGTCCCGCAGTTGTTTGGGTCTGTGAGGACATCTAAGCATACGCCATTACACACCATTTTCGGGGGAGCACAATTCGGTACGCAGATACTGTTCTTGCAGGTTGCGGACGCACCGCACTTCCAGGCACAGGCATGTTAGTAAAATCTACGGGCCAAGTTCAAGAAATATATCATCATAGGAAACGTACCGCGTGATTACATGTCCCACAGTTGTTGTTATCAGACGTTAGGTCTGGGCATGCGCCATTGCATGGAGCCAAGTTGCTATTTGTACATATACAGGCTCCTGACTTGCAGGTGCTGCCAGTTGGACACTAGATGTAATAAGTGAGTATTCGGAATACTGTTTAGAAGATGCAAGGACTTACTATATTCCCACACTTGCCACAATTCTGGCTGTCGGATCCCACGTCTGGACATGCGCCATTGCAAGGAGCTGAGTTGCTATTCGTGCAAATACAGGCTCCTGACTTACAGGTGCTGCCAGTCGGGCACTAGATGTAACAAGTGAGTATTCAGGATTCGGAATTATGTGTGGAAGACGCAAGGACTTACTGTATTCCCACACTTGCCACAATTCTGGCTGTCGGATCCTAGGTCTGGGCACGCACCATTGCATAGTGCCAAGTTGCTATTTGTACATATGCAAGCTCCTGACTTACAGCTGCTGCCAGTCGGACACTAGATGTAACGCCAAGTGAGCATTCGGAATTCTGTGTAGAAGATGCACCGACTTACTATATTCCCACACTTGCCACAATTCTGACTGTCAGATCCTAGATCTGGGCATGCACCGTTACATAGTGCTAAATTGCTATTAGTGCATATGCAAGCTCCTGACTTGCAGGTGCTGCCAGCAGGGCACTAGAGACATGTCAGAATAAGTTGTAAAGTTCTCACAAATGATTATCATGTTACCTTGTTATCACACTTTCCACAATTATTGCTATCAGATCCTAGGTCTGGGCAAGCACCGTTACATGGTGCTAAATTGCTATTAGTGCATATGCAAGCTCCTGACTTGCAGGTGCTGCCAGCAGGGCACTAGAGACATGTCAGAATAAGTTGTAAAGTTCTCACAAATGATCATCATGTTACCTTGTTATCACACTTTCCACAATTATTGCTATCAGATCCTAGGTCTGGGCAAGCACCGTTACATGGTGCTAAATTGCTATTAGTGCATATGCAAGCTCCTGACTTGCAGGTGCTGCCAGTAGGGCACTGGAGACATATTAGAATAAGCTGTGATGCTTACAAACAACTATCATGTTACCTTGTTATTACACGTTCCACAATTATTGCTATCAGATCCTAGGTCTGGGCAAGCACCGTTGCATGGTGCCAAGTTGCTATTAGTGCATATGCAAGCTCCTGACTTGCAGGTGCTGCCAGAAGGGCACTATATATGAGCAGCGGTATTAGAATTGAGTTATAATCATACAGGAAGCTATTCGAAACTCGCATCTTACCACATTGTTACAAGCGCCGCAATTTTTAGGATCGGAGCTGGTTTCGCTACACGCACCGTTGCATAGCTGCTCTGTTGGTGAGGCCTTGCCTGGGCCGCAGACGTAGCATGGGCCCTCGCCATGAGCGGCTGGTGCTGTACATATATTTCCGGGATGGGCGAAGTTCGCGGCGCACCACTGTGCGCATTCACTGTTGCCGCCGCCCTGCGGATTAGCAGCCACGGCTTTTCAAGTTAGCGCGCCGTGATAGAGAAATAGAGTTGCAATCATAAATATGTTGGGAGACTAACAGAGTACAAGCAAGGTGACTATAAGAAGTTTTGCCATGGTAAGTGAATCGTTCCTTGATATAGAACCATTCTCTTAGAGACCTTGTAAAAGATAAATAGACGTCAAAGGTAGTATCAACGACTTTTTATACGAAGGCTTGAATTGGCGTCTCGTTGTAATGTCAGCCGTTGCATTCTAACACTGTAATGGTAGCCATATCCGCTGATAGTGCAACCAAGATCTGGCATGAATGAGAAGTGATCGAACAGTGCCCGATTTGGTAAAGGAGCTATTGTGAGACAATATTACGTCAAATCATAATATGACAGTGTGCTATTCAAACGATGTGAGTTGTTTGCCTCTGTACATGATTTGGGGGGAATAGGAAGTTAATGTTGTTTTTCCTTTGAGTTGACATTGACACAGACCATCGAATCAATATATGACGCAGCTAGGTTTAGCATCTACCATACTTGTGTGGGACAATCCTAGATCCCTATATAGACTGTTTTTTTAATGGGAGTGACTCTTGAACTTAGTTGGTCTGGACTGTTCTTTGAATGAGTGTCACTCTCATAGTGCTCGATTACAGCCTACACAGCCCTAACAGAAGACCATTCATTGAGCTATCTAATCTTTCCCTGCTGATCTATGCTATCTATAGCTACCGTCATACCAACTTTTCAATACTCTCTCTCAAGTCATAATGCTACTAATGTGGCCTGGAGCGCTGATTCTCCCGTCCTTCGGCTTGCTCTGTCCCCCATCGTGATGCTACAATTCTAAGGTAGTAGTATCTGACGGACTTAGACAACTGTCCACCATCTATCCCTCCAATCCAAACGTTTGGCTTGTGTTAGTCTGCGTTCGTACGTACAGTAGCGGTGGCAACATACGGCTTCATATTAGCTGCAAGGTTGCGATCGGTGAAGCTTTTCATATTCTTAGATCTACTGGTTCAGATGTTATTATAGACCAGTAGTCCGTGCTTAAGTAAGAGCGGGACAACAAGCTTTTTAATGGTTAGATCGCTGTAGTGTACGGCTTGTGCCGTGTGCAGTGTGCTAGTAGCTATTGGTTTAGTTCTAAGATTTAGTGGGCAGCATAGCCGCCCTTATTCTAGGCATAGAGTAGCCTACCATTAGCGGCTGCCTAGGTAAGTGGCTCCATATCTATCCCGTTGCTGTCGTGCATCGGTGAACCGTCACGGTCACCGTCTTATAGCAAATGTCGCTGAGCAAGGAAGTCGCCGGCCATATGACTACAGCTGCCACACGAGTCCACTTCAAGTCCAAAAACTGTGCGGCATATGGCGTGAAATCTACCATGGACCGACCACGCAGGCCCGCCTCGCTGCCTCAAGTGGCATTCCCAAGCCGTCCCTGTTCCCATCCTAGGGTACAGATCGCCAGCCTAGCTGTGGTATAGCGCATACAAAAACCAGTCTGCAAAAGCTGAAGGTGTCGGGGGGTCTTGTACTTAGACTACTTTCAAACCTTACGATTCTCACCCTCGCACCACCCCCGGTTATCCTGCTCACCCTTGCCCACCCGCTCATCTATACCGCCAGATTAACCATGGCTATCAAAAGTCGCTGTGCATCGCGTTCATCTCGTCTTAACTCAAGGCCTACTTCGTGTGTGTCGACATGGTCGCCATCAGGTAGCCAAAGGAGATAACCAGATGATCGTAGGGGCTTCAAAACTTGGAGAGGTGGCGCGCACCCGCTAGTCCGGATAGCACCCTCCCGGGTATTAATCCACTACAAAGGCTTGAGATCGGTGGGTTAGTAGTTGGGTGGGTGACCACCAGCGAATACCTACTGTTGTATGTTTTTTTGCTACTTTTTTGGGTTATAACCTTCCGTTTCTAAAGTAACGTCACTTGCGACCGCTGATGCCCTGATAGCTGGGTTTCTTTTTTTTATTTTAGTTTTGGATGGCAGTAGGATTGTAAACTTGTTATAAGTGGGTTAAGTGGGTTGATTCACACTTGGACCGGTGCCAAGTTGATATAGAAGTAAGGGGCATGTATGAATCTCGTATGGCGCGTAAGCAAATGTAAATCATTTACCACTCTCCTCTCACTTCTCACCCGAGAACAATAAGCAGAGAATGCTACATGGATAGCTGGCCGGGGGTTTGGAGTCATTTGCGGGGAAGATTGAGGACCTGCTTTTCCAGTGCCGAAACATAAGAACCCCCCAATTGGATTTTGGTTTAGATTGACCCGTCAGCCCGCCACGCTTGGCATATTGAAATATATGTCAACAAATGCTCGAGCTGAACCATTATCAAAACGCCCATAGCCCAACGAACAGAATGAAGCTGGGCTTCGTCGTCAGCTTATATCGCTCCTGTGTCGGTCTTGTCCGCATCGGAGACGGTGATCTGTCCGTCTCACTCAGCACACTCCAGACCCCAACGGTGTACAGGCTGCATGCCCAACCGAAGCATGCAACCCCCTTCTTCCCCTTGCTGCAATCACACCTCAATCCCACGTCAATTATCCAGCCATTGATGCCTCCCACTGCGAATTCTCCCGTCAGGCCCGCGTCCTGTAATTACCTTGGCTCTTGGTTGACTTCGTATCCAGAATCTCTTTTTCCTATTCTCATCGGCGGGGTAATCGATGACCCGAAGCCAAGGCTTAGCAGTTACGCTCGACGTCAAAACCAGTCGCACGACAGGATTTTTGACTCCGTAATTCGACGAGCTGCAATAAGGTAGTAATCTTGGCGCGGTACTGGTGGGTTCAGCTGCTTATTACTTCGTATATTTTGCGGGGTCGTAACTTTGCTATTATCCCATTGTTCTATCTTAGCCGACCAAATCTTTGGATGAGTGAAATTGATGTGTCGGATGCCAAGAGCAGTTCGTATATATTTCGGCTTCACCTCTGACACGATTGAGGGTTTGAATCCAAGCTCGCCATCACCATCCAGTCACCTCAACCAATCAAAATGATGTCTTTCAATCCTCTCTCTATCAAAGCTGTGGTGCTTCTGACTGCGGCTATCGGCGTCATCGCCAACCCCGTCCTCAAAGACCGAGCCATCTCTTGCGATGTCGTCCGTTGCCCTTCTGGCACCGTTTGCCAAGTCATCGATAACGTTGCGCAGTGTGTTGGCGGCCAGAAATGCGGCACGGCTGTCTGTGGGGCCGGCTTGGTATGTTGCAACGCCCTCTGCAACATTTGCACCAAACCCGGCCAGTTCTGCATCCAAGGCTGCCCGGTGACCGACCCAGTAGTTGAAGCTTCAGCTGGCCCAGTCTGTGGTTCAAAGACTTGCGCAACGGGCGAGGTGTGCTGCAACCCCCTCATGGACATTTGCACCAAACCCGGCGAGGTTTGTATCCTAGGCTCCAACGCAGCAGTTGCAGCTACAACTGGCCCAGTTTGTGGTGCGAACACTTGCGCATCGGACGAGGTATGCTGTAATGCGAGCTGTGGCAAATGCGCCAAACCTGGAGTCGCCTGCACCCAAGAAGCGTGCGGCCCAGTGTGCGGTCCAAACACCTGCCCATTCGGCGAAGTATGCTGCAACGATAGCTGTGGCTATTGCACCAAGCCAGGCGGGTTTTGCACCCAGGAATTATGCTCTAAGGCGACTGAGGCTCGCGCAACCTGCGGTCCGAATGTCTGCGCATCTGGACAGGTATGCTGCAACAGTAGCTGCGGGGTCTGCACTGCTCCAGGCGGTAAATGCACCCAGCAATTCTGCGGGCCTACCTCTTAGAATGGGGAGGGATGTGTTCAAAAATGGAGGAAGATATGAGTCGAGAGGAACGAAAAGCAAAGGCAGAGAAAGAGTAAAGCGGGGGAAAAGTACTTTATAGCTCTTACTGCTAGAAACATAACGAGAATGATTTATATTTAAGATTGACTTGCCTTTTAAACTCATTTCATGCATATAATAGTGATTGATATCTCGAAAATTGAGGGTAATCTTTGGATAATCGCCGACGTATCATATGAGGTTCTCTCGTTGGTTTCTCTGGTACACAGCATGTCTTGTTGGCGTCCCATGTGAGTACTGTTTTCTAGCATCGGATATCATAACTGCCCAATTTGCTGGGCAGGCGCGGTTGGCGGGGGTAGAGCAACCCCGTTAGGTTATAGAAATCGAACGAGAACACAGGAACGTCACGACACGTCCAGAGAATCAAAATAATGAAGTGAATACACACCCCTTTTGTTAATACGATGCATTGCAACTACTTGGGGCCCTCAAACTTATATGTTGTGAGGTCAAGTCGTGGCACTAGTCTCAGAGAGGGAGGAGCCAAGATGGGTGCAGTAGCTCGCCATCGAAGGCTGGTGTGAGAACACTCACACGCACTACCTAGTATAGGTATGAGGTATACCAGAGTAAACTATTGGAGTACGCTATCTTTATAATCCTCATCCAAGTCTCCAAGTAGGAACAAAGCGGCACAGAGCGGCATATCGGCCGAATGGGTGTTGCCTGTTAAGCCGAGCCCTAGTTTTCTTTCATGTTAGGAGAGGTCTACCAGAAACTAGAAAGCACGTTATGTATACTACGGAGTATATATGTACGTGATGGGCATTGGGTCTCCTTTTAAAGCCTACTATTATATACAAATTGTATTATAATAACACTTATGTAGCACATATATACACTAATCTAGCAGATATAGATCATCATATCGACATCGGCATATATACGGTGGTATCACGAGTAAAAATTGGAGAAAAGCTAAGCTGTTCACAGTTGCGACACCCTGTTGGATTTCTCCACACCCGACTCGCACAGTGTCCCATTACAGAGTCCCACTACAGAGTCCCACTACAGTGCTCCAACTACAGTGCTGCAACTACTCCAACTACTCCCAGGTGTACAGTAAATACCACACTACCACCACGCATATCCTCATTCCGCTACACCAACAATACTTCACTCGTGCCTCCACCAACCACTATATTTCATGTACTGCCATGTATGAACACGTAAGGAAGTCACGAGCCTCGGCGCCAGCGACAAGAAATTAGACAAACCAAAATTCATCGTCGGCTTCAATCTTCACCCACCAGCCATCTTCTGTTCACTATTGCTATACAGACAAAATTTGCTCCGTGTAACAGCACCCGACATCCTACGATAGCTTCACACGACAACTCTCACACACCACCAACCCTCTCCCATCCTGCGGCACCGATCTCCAAGTACCCACGAGACCTCGATATTCACCGTTCACAAGCCTGAATCTCGAATCGCCGACCTCAACATTCACCGTTCACAAGCCTGAATCTCGAATCGCCGACCTCAACATTCACCTCCTACCATATGGCCTGCAGCAGGCTTCGTTGATATTACCGGAGCCACCTCCACATGGCAACACAACTACCCGATCACTTCACCGCGGTCAGTCATATGGAGCAGTCCGAGCCGCTCGAACGGCAACACCCCTCAGAGTCACCTGTTTCGCCGAAAGGGTTCACCCTTCCAGGAGGCGCACCTGCCTACGTCAACCAACCTTCCAGCAAGAACATACCCAGTAGCCGAAACTACACGAACGATCTTCCTTCCCCGCCTTCCACCATCAAAACCTCACCCTCAGCCTTATCCCCGCACTACTACCAGAAGGGCCGTCTCGTCTCCCCACCGATCAGCCGCTCGACGTCTCTCAATGGTAAAGGTGTCGAGCAGGTCGACGACTGGCGAGAATTTACAAGGAGGCAACGAGAACAATTCCTGGGCGAGAAGGCACACATGGAGGCGGACAGGGCTCGAGCCGAAGAGGTGATGGCGGAGGAGCGGTCACTCTGGGACAAGGAGCGCGCATTGTATGAGGAGCGCATCGCGGAACTCGAAGCACAACTTGCGGCATTCACTGGTCCTTCTCGAAAATCTCCTGCCACTTCTGCTTTACCACCCCCTGTTGATGCTACGCAGAAAGCATATGTGCAGCAGAGCCCAAGCATTACCTCAGATGCGGCCACCTCTCGAGGTAGCAATCTTGGGTCCCCGCTCTCGAGATCGGTGACCCAGGAATCTGGCCGCAATCCTGATGGCAGCCCCTTCTATGCCCCTGCCCCACAACATCCATCAAGGACATTCGAGGGCACATCCACTATAGACCAGCGGGTCGATGACATGTTTACTCTACGCGAGACCGGCATTCGTGTGACATCCAAAGAACTCAGTGAATCAGACTTCCAAAAAAGCCCCGATTCAGGCGAGCAGTTTTCACCTCGTGAAGACACCGTGATAGGCGACAGCATCGACATCTCGCTCATCCAGCCCGAACTGGAGGGCGTACCCATCAAGTCATCCGCGGTGGCTCCCATGTTCGCGGCCCAAATACGCAGTCCATCCAGCACCATTATGTCGCCTAATAAATTCTCCCCTGATACTGCACCGCCGCCGCGACCCAGCCAAAGCTACGACCGCCACAGTCCGATGCTGGGCCCAAGAAAGGCCCGGGATATTATCAAGCAGCCCGAGGGCCGCAGGCTTACGATGCACGCAGGACATACGCCGAACCATTCGGTGATTCACTTCGATCTCGGCGATAGTGGGGTCACAACGCCGAAGTCCTCAGCGCGAAGCCAGGAATCCATACCTACTGTTGTCGAGCAGGATGAGTCTCCAATTGAGGACCCAGAACTCTCAGGTCCGCTGGGCCTGACTAATGATGCGCCTGAGGATAAGCAGTTCCTCGCTGCTCTGACGAGCAAGCTTGAGGAAGTGGCGGAGAGCGAGAGGACAGAGGAGTTGGATGAGCAGGAGCTGAGCGATGGGCAGGTGCTACAGAATGCACTACGGGCTATTGGGCGGGTAAATGGATCAAGGAGAGATGACGATGAAGATGGCGAGGGCCTGGTCGCTATAGCGTCGACGGATGATATTCCCATGCTTAAACTTAAGCAGACGCCGAATTTTGGAAGGCCACTTGGCTCGTTATGATGTGGATGCAGGATTGGATATTCACTACTCTAAAATTGGTTAGTTGAAGATGCATATACACCTAGTTTGGATGGGAAGGATTTTGATTACCAAAGTAACGGGAAGGATGCATGGCCAAGGCAGGCGGGACATACGTGGAATTGGAAACACTCGGAGCATACACACCAGATGTGGAGGAAGACATGGCATAGATTGATTGCCTTTGTGTTCACACACACAAACGTTTCCTTTTTGGAGGCGTAGTAGAGCGAGATACACATGATACCCACATATAGATTCATTATCACAGTTAATAACACAAAAAATACTTCAAATACAATGACGCTTCGTGATGACAATGTGCTTCGCTAACTGTTGTAATGCCTTCGTCGATAACTTGACGCCATAGGCCGCTCATTCCGCCGATAGTTCCTACAGCCGGCTTCTATATACAATCACACTTCCTTTCATATGACTCCCATATCCGTGTAATGATGCTGTTTGATTTCCAATACCTCCTGTTCAGAGCCACTTGCGCCGTCTATTCTATGCCAACCATGACCTCATAGCCCCTGCCCAGCATACTCCTTGTTGAAGGCCCTCCCAATAACCATCCTCCTGATCTCCGACGTCCCCGCTCCAATCTCATAAAGCTTCGCACTAAACGTCACAGTTAGCACCCGCTCACCCAAAATAACACAGGAACAAGACTCACTCTCTCAATATCCTGCTCACCGGCATCTCCTCCATATACCCCATCCCGCCCAACAACTGTATCGCATCGAGCGCACACTCCGTCGCGCGCTCCGCCGCATACAGAATAGCCCCCGCACAATCCTGCGTGCGGATCTCCCCCACCTCATCCACCCTCCGTGCAGTCTCATACGTATACGCCCTGCTCGCCTGCAGCTTCGTGTACATATCCGCCAGCTTGCCCTGTACGAGCTGGTTGTGCGCGATCGGCGCGCCGAACTGCTTACGCTGGTGCGTGAACGGCAGCGTCACGTCGAGCGCCGCCTGCATCAGGCCCAGCGGACCCGCTGACAGCACGAGACGCTCGATGTCGAGGCCCTCCATCAGCACCTTAACGCCGCGGTTGATGGAGCCGAGGATCTGCGCCTCGGGCACGAACACCGAGTCGAAGACCAGCTCGCCGGTGTTGCTGCCGCGCATGCCCATCTTGTCGAGCTTGCGCGAGACAGCGAAGCCGGGCGAGGTCGCCGTCTCGACGATGAAGGCTGTGATGCCCTTGGATCCAGCCTCGGGCTCGGTCTTCGCGTACACGACGATGTAGTCCGCGTCGGGGCCGTTGGTGATCCACATCTTGGTACCGTTGAGTTCGTAGCCGCCATCGACCTTCTTGGCTGTCGTGCGCATGCCGACGACGTCGCTGCCGGCACCGCTCTCGGACATGGCGAGCGCGCCGACTTTGTCGCCTGCGATCAGGCCGGGGAGGTACTTCTCCTTCTGCGCGGGCGAGCCGTTGAGCTGGAGTTGGTTGACGCAGAGCTGGGAGTGTGCGGCGTAGGAAAGGGCGATGCTGCCGGAGGCGCGGGAAAGCTCTTCCATCACTATGGCGTGGGCTTGGTAGCCCATTGCGAGACCGCCGACGTCCTCGTCGACTGTGATGCCGAGGAGGCCTGCGTCGCCGAGCTTCTTCCACATTGTCGCGGGGAACTCATTGGATTTGTCGGTGTGGGCGGCGACTTCTTCGGGGATCTCGCGGCGTGTGAACTCTTGGACTCGTTCGCGCAGCTCGGCGAGGTCTGAGGGGGTCGGGGCGACGAAGCCTTTGGGGTGTTTGGAGGAGGCGTTGCGGGAGGCTATGAGCGGAGCGAGGGATTGGGGTTTGATGTTCGAGAGAGGGCGGAGAGTTCGGCGTAAGAGGACTGAGGGGGCAGCCATGATGTGAGATTCGTGCTGTTATAGCTGTAATTGTTATAATATAGAATCTCGAACTGAGAAACTTTATATTATACAAGGTTGAAATGTACAAATGTTTCATCTGCAATCATCATTTATGGCGGGGAGACCGCACTAAGCCGAACGTCGCTGATAACCACGGTTGCCGCAGAAAGCCGCCAATAGCCTTTCCTCCGCTGCCAACCTCGGGCGGCATAGACACTGACGAACGAATGCAGGTCACGAAAACATTTAACTCTGGATTCTTGCAGGTTTAATTACTTTTGAGAACTCTCGAGATAGTATCGAATAGAACATCATGTCTGCAAGCCGCGCTTCACGGAAGCTGCTCGCCAGCACCCTCCGCGCATCCCAGCACCGCGCACCAGTAACAGCAACCCTTCTCACCTCAAGAAGCTCAATCCGCGGAGCAGCGACCTTCGTGCCTCCCCACCAGGCCAATGCCATCTCCGTGCTCCCCACGAACGTCGACCCCTCGTCGCCGGAGTACCAGGAGAATGCGAAGCAGATGGGCGAGGTGATCGCGAAGCTCGAGACGCTCACAAAGAAGGTTCGCCAGGGCGGCCCGCCCAAGGCCAGGGACAAGCATATCGCGCGCAACAAGATGCTGCCGCGGGACCGTGTGACGGCACTGATTGATCCAGGGACGTCGTTCCTGGAGTTGTCGTCGCTGGCGGGGGAGGGATTGTATGGGGAGGACGTGCCGGCGGGAGGTATCATTACGGGCGTGGGTGTTGTGGAGGGTGTGACGTGCATGATTGTTGCAAATGATAGTACGGTGAAGGGCGGCACATATTACCCAATTACGGTGAAGAAGCACTTGAGGGCGCAGGCTATTGCAGAGGAGAATAACCTACCGTAAGTACTCTTCCAAGGGATTCTTAATAACCTCTCGTGGAGCCGTCGCAACAGCCAGCTAACGATGCCTTAACAATAGTTGCATATACTTGGTCGACTCCGGCGGTGCCAACCTCCCCCACCAAGCAGACGTCTTCCCCGACCGCGACCACTTCGGCCGAATCTTCTACAACCAAGCGCGGATGAGCTCCCAAGGAATCCCCCAGATCGCCGTAGTCATGGGTCCCTGCACCGCAGGCGGCGCCTACGTCCCCGCCATGAGCGACGAGAGCATCATCGTCGACGGGCAGGGCCACATCTTCCTCGCGGGCCCACCCCTCGTCAAAGCCGCCACCGGCGAAGTAGTAAGCCAAGAGGACCTCGGCGGCGGGCAAATGCACACCTCCACCTCGGGCGTGGCAGACTACCTCGCCGTCGACGACGCGCACGCGCTCATCCTCGCGCGCCGCTCCATCTCCAACCTCAACTGGCCCCAGAAGCCCTTCCCCGAGCCAAGCACCTACGAGGAACCCCTCCACGACCCAGAGGAGCTCATCGGCATCGCCTCCACCAACCTGCGTCGTCCGCTCGACGTCCACGAGATCATCGCCCGCATAGTCGACGGCTCGCACTTCTCCGAGTTCAAGAAGGACTACGGATCTAGCCTCGTCACGGGGTTCGCGCACATCTACGGCCACAAGGTGGGCATCGTGGCGAATAATGGGATTTTGTTCTCGTCGTCCTCGCTCAAGGGCGCGCACTTCATCGAGCTGTGTGCCCAGCGCGGCGTCCCGCTCGTATTCCTCCAGAATATCTCGGGGTTCATGGTTGGGCTCGATGCGGAGCGTGAGGGGATCGCAAAGAATGGCGCGAAGCTTGTGACGGCGGTCGCGTGCGCGAATGTGCCCAAGTTCACGGTCGTGGTGGGCGCGAGTAATGGCGCGGGGAACTATGGCATGTGTGGACGCGCGTATAGCCCGAGGTTTATGTGGATGTGGCCCAATGCGAAGATTGGGGTGATGGGAGGGGAGCAGTTGAGTAAGGTGATGGAGGCGGTGGGGAAGAAGGTGGATCCGGAGTTGAAGTCGAGGATAGAGAGGGAGAGCGAGGCAGTGTTCTCGAGTGCGAGGTTATGGGTGAGTTTGATCCCGTGTGTTGGTGGCTCTGCGAGGTCATTTGCTAACTTGGAGATAGGACGATGGTGTGATTTTGCCCAGCCAAACGAGGAAGGTTTTGGGACTGGGACTGATGGCTGCGATGGGTGGAAAGAACGAGGTCAAGCCCACCAAGTTTGGTGTCTTCAGGATGTAGATGTAGAAACAAGTTACGTTGGGATCTAAAAAAAATTATATAATTTATGCTAAATATTGGACTATGTTGCCCCTTATAACCTGATATAATCAAGAGGGCAGAAATCAACAACAATCAACAACAATGATAACCAAATTCCACGGGCAACAACAAACACTCTTTAGATAGTAGCAACACTCTAGTAAACTCGTTCATATATCTCTTGAATTTGATTTGATTCTTGAGATACAGCCATCAATGGCCCAATCAATCTATACATATAATATCTCTCATCCTACAAGGCTATAATACCTGGCGCTCTAACGCTCAGTGAAAATGCTCCCATCCACAAATCGTACTGTACAAGGCTGAATGAATGCTCCCAAAAAAACGCCCTTAACAGCAACTTTACTTTATACAGGCCTCTTATCCAAACACACTCAGGCCACCCTGGTAGGGATCTTGATCTCGCCCCTCCGCCTGTCGTACAGCGGGACACCATATCTCCAGCCCGTACCGTTCTTGCCCCTGCCAGTCTCACCGGCAGCATCGACACTGACCTCGCGGAACTTGAAGTCCCACCTCACACCCGGGACAACCTTGAGAGCCGCGGCCTCGCGGGCGCGCTTGCGCTCGTCGAAAGCAGCCTTCTTCTCATAGGCCTCCTTGCTACGCGCCTCGGCGCGCTCAGCGATGTCCTTGGCGCCCACGCCTTCGAGGCGGAGGCGTTCGTCCTCGATTAACTCGGGGTGGGGGACGCGCAAGTCAGCGGGGAGGAGGCCGTCAGCGAAGATGCGGGCGGCGTCGACGCGGGTGAATTGTCTGGATTCGGAGGTGGGGTAGAAGATCTGCTGTTGGGTGGCAGCGTGGACGGGGAGGTCGTTGATGGATTCGTGGGGTTGCACTACGCCGGTCCATGACGTATTCGGGTAGGGAGTCTGGGGCAGCATTGCCATGACTGCTCTCGAGTATGGTTTCGCGAGACGTTTGCCCTGGGATTGAATGTTAGCTTTGCTGAATATAGAAAGCAGTCTGTTAAAATCCAAAATGTTGGGGAACACTATTCAGAGAGGCTCGCATGCGTGTGTATTGTAACCATGTGTTTTGTCTTATAGACTAATCGATTTTATACAATCATCATAAAGTGTCTTCAGTCCTTGATGACAAGGCTGGTGGGATTGAGTAGTAGAGAAATGTGGAGTCTTACCTGACGTTGCCATGCCTTCTCGACTTCCTTCAACCGCACAATAGCGCCAACGCGGCTCATCTCGATTCCGAGCTCCTTGCTGACTTCCTTGACAGAGAGGCCATTCTTCATAATCCTCTCCCACACCGCTTCCCTCAACGCTTCACTCGTGACAGGTTGTGACACGAAATCATCGTTTTTCGGGAACGGCTTGAGATCAGACGCCCTTGGCGGCGGCAGAGGTTCTCCAGGAGTAGCAGTCGCCGCCCTCTTCAGGTTGCCCTTGTTGTCATAGGCTCCGAGATAGTTAGCCCCCTCTATCGGCTCCTTGAATGCCGCTCCTGGTCCATGGAGCCATGCGTACAGCTTCCGGCGAAGGTACGTAGGACCTTGATTTTTGGTTGAGGCAGAGAACGAGCGCAGAGGCTGCGCAACTCTGATGGTTCCCGTCCTACATGACGATTGGGAAGAAGATAGAATTGAAGAACAATTCTTCGGTATTAAGGAGGGTGGCATTTTAAGGTGGGTGGGATGTGGACGGAGTTTAAATAGATTTTCTCGGTGGTCTCTTCGAAGCTACAAGCTCGCTTCACGCAAATTTCGTCTAGCGGGTCAATCCCATGTCACGTGTATCCCCGTCACATGATGTTCCTCTCCTGACTCCTTCTCTACATTTGATACTCGATAATAATTATATTAGAAATCCTGTATTCCAGTCTCCCCCCTCTTCTCGCTATCCTCCGGACTTCCCTCCGCCCACCCCGGCTCCTCCTCCTCAAACCAATGCTCCTCCGCGTCCTCCCGCTCAATAACATCCCACTCCTCCCTCCCATCCACCTCCCCATAATCGAACTCCTCATCCCCCCCCTTCAAAAACCGTAACGTCATAGCCTCCCTCCACCTCTCCATCCCCTCCTCCTTCGTCTTCGGCACCTCATCCTCATCCTCCGGCAACACCTGCCCATCAGGTCCAGGAACATACGCTAGATCCTCCTGCCGCCTCTCCGCGCCATCATCGCCCATCCCGCGTCCGGAGAGCGCAGCGAGCTTGGCTTCAGAACGATACAGATCCGCCTCCAGCACCCCTGAGTACCCCTTCGCCCGCCCGTCGGCCTCGCGCTCGGCGTTGGTCTGGAAGCGCCGCACGCAGCGGTCGTAGAGGAGGGGGTCTGGGCGGGTGGTTAGATGGTGCTTCGCTGAAGGTGGGGGGGAGTTACTTACCGACTATTTCGAGGTCGGGGGAGTCGAAGTACGAGGGGTGAGTGTCGAGGTACATTTTCCTGCGGTTCTTTACGCGGATGCGTTGTCTCTTTTCGTCGGGAGGCGAGGAGGGGTCGGCGGCGGTGGTGGTGGTATGAGGGTCGGCATCGGATGTCTGGTTTTGGGACGGCGCGGGGGGAGGTGCTTCTCTGGAAGGGGGGTAGCTTTCGTTAGGCATTGTGCCTCATTTTTCGATGTGAGAGGATGAATGATAGTACTCCCCCAGTCATCATGTTAAGTTGATATTGAGGGTGGCAAGACTCGAGCTTTGAGCTCATATGATCACGTGACCTATCTCATATCTTTCGATTTCCCCTCTCCATTCAGGTACCAATCCATGATGTCTAAGATGCAAGATAGACTTTGCAAGCTGCACTGTCGTTATGGTAGTCTCAGGGTCCCAAAAGCTAGGCAGATCGGTATAATTGCCAAGGATTTGAAAGAGCAATGCGGTCTACCAAGCTACGATTAATGAACCTCGGCTGTGATAGTCGGTCTATCTACGTCCAGACCCATCAGAGGAACAGCAGTAAATTTACATTTCTCAGAACTCAACATTCCAAAATGTCTACCTCCACCTCCAGCAGTGCGGCCTTGCCATCACCTCCCTTCATCCAGGTAGAAGGTCTGCCTAATCTGCGCGATCTGGGCGGGTATCCCGTACCTGGCTCCAAGAACTCCATCCGTCGCGGGGTAATTTATCGCGCTGGTGCTCCCAGCAGCAAGATCGACGAGGATGGATGGACAACGATTAAGTCGCTGGGAATCACCCATGTCTATGACTTACGGTCGAATCCTGAAATTGAGAAGGCTGAGGCAGCTGGTAGGGGTGGTGTAGTAGAGTTTGAGGGCAGTAAGAGGGTGTTTGCGCCGGTATTTACGGATGTTGATTACAGCCCGCAGAACCTCATGGTGCGGTTCAAGAATTACCAGAGCGGTAGCCCCGAGGTAAGCTTTCTCCAGTGAATAGTGCAGGCAGCTTGAAGAAGCATTGCTCGGAGGGATAGGGAAATAGCTAAGTTCGTCTAGGGGTTCACGGCGGCATATGAGGATATTCTCAAAAATGCCCCGCAGTCATACACGCAAATTCTACGCCACATCGCACAGTGGCCGACGTCGCCGCTGCTCCTCCACTGCACAGCTGGGAAAGACAGGACTGGTGTCCTCTGCGCGTTGATTCTCTCCCTCTGCGGTGTGGACGACGAGACCGTTGCGCGTGAGTACTCCTTGACGGAAGTCGGGCTGGCTCATTGGAGAGAAGAGGTCGTCGCCGGCCTCATGGCGTCGCACACAATACCTTCTGATAGGACCGGCGCGTTGAATATGCTCAGTGCGAGGTAAGTTCACTTCCATACTCAAGAGGTGGAGACTAACGGGATGCAGGGCTGAGAATATGATGGCAACGCTGGCGATGATCCGGGAGAGGTATGGCGGGGCTGAAGGGTATATCCGCGAGCACTGCGAATTGAGCGACGACGAGATCGGGCAGATCAAGTCGAGCTTGGTGGTGACGGAAGCTCCTGTCCACCAACTGTGAGGGCTGGAGTATGAGCGTTGGTGGTGGAGGTAGATTAACGCGAGGACATGGATATATCAAAGAGCACATGTTGTAGATAAAGCACAACCGTGTGAACAAATAGCAAGGCACAGCCAGTGCAGCCTTCTTGCTCCATAAATAGAGAAATAGATCATATGAAGATAAATCACCACCGTCTACTCAAAACACCAGCATCGCTGGCTCAGGCTTTTCCTCCTCTGACGGCAACCGCATCAACAGTAACGGCTAAACGGCTTATTGTCCACGGGATGCCGCAACGTTGGCGGGGTGTCGTCAGCACCGTCTCGCGCAGATGGCCGGCAGTATTAGCAGCAGCCGGCCGGTCCTTCCTCACGCACCCGCGGGCCGAGCGAGGGCAGAGGTTGGTTTGATAAGGATGGATACGACGCTGCCTGCGTCGTGGTGGGTTGTCAGGATGTGTGTGAGCGGTGGTGGTGGTGGTCCAGGGACCCTGTCCTTGCCAGCAGCGATTCCTTCCGCTTCGGTGCAGCAGGACCAACACCACCAGCGTCGTCGTCGTCACGTCAGATCCGGCACCCCGTAAATAGTAGGTAGGTGGAACGGCAGGCCATAGGGTACCTGGTCTATATTTCACGCGCATATCGGTGAGGAGGGCCTAGAGCAAGGGGATAGTTCTCGAAGCGCCCTGCGAAGAAACATGATGGTGTCGTTTGAGGTAGTCCGGGGGGGTTCTACAGCAAAGACGTCAGACCTCGTGGCTGGTAGTGTATGCGACAGGGAAGAGTGGTATTGCATCGGAGAGTTGAAGTTACAGTACAGGATGCAGAGTTGGGCAGGGAAGGGCAGGAAGGGGCAGGGAAGGGGTAGGGATTGCTGTTTGGTAGAGATGAAGAAGGTCTGGGTGGTCTGGGTGTTGGTCGGTCTGTGGTGTGTCTGGGTTCGGCCGTTGAAAGGGCTGAGAGGGTTATGGGCGGCAGAGGGAGGAGGTAGGAGGAGAAGGGTGGTTGAGTATCCCTGTTAGCCTTATGCATCTGGTTGGTGTTAGAGAAGTGTACTTTCTCTTAACTTCGGTGTTGAGTAGATGTGTGATAAAGTACGACGCGCAATACGATAACGCACAGTACTATACACACAATACTATACTTACCTAAGTGGCTCCTAAGTCTGGTAGCTTATACAACTCCGGCTCATACTTACCGGACTTACTGGTAGCTTGGCGAATGACAGGCGGCGAAAGGCACACACCTGAGCTTTTTAGTCTACTCAGCTACCAGCAACTTTATGTAGCAGCAACTAACAGCAACTAGCAGCAAGAAACTACGACCAACCACCAGTAGAGTAGGAGAGGCGAAGTCTAGCTAGACTCTCCCCCATAAGCCCATATGGCCCCCTTCTACCAATCTACCGAGAGAGTTGGTTATATGGGGCATGGACTAGTCTAAGCCATGAGCTCTTTCCGGCCATCGACCGGGAAGAAAGAGAGCGCGGGCATAGTACGAGGTACCAGTAGGGTGCGAGTATTACTCGACTAACTCGACTACTCGACTACTCGACTAGGAAATGTGCTGACATGCATGTACTTTGTCTTTGTCTGATGGCTGCTGCTGCTGTTGTTTTGCTTCAGAGTAGAGTGTTCGAGTATTACCGTAATAACACTAATGCGCCAAATAAACGTCAAATAGCCAGCCATTTTATATACAGTATTCCTATCGCCGTATCATCGTATCATCGTATCATAGTATCATAGTATCGTACCTTTCTCTACTAATCTTAGTATAATATGCTGCTGAGCTACCATCTCGTGCTAGCACACGTCTACTAGTACACCTCTGCAGTACACCACCTCTGCTAGTACACCACCTCTGCTATTCCCGTCACGGTACCACTTTTCATATGGTGTCGCCAGATACATAACACCCGATCAATCCAAGCTTCTTGTACCTGCCAGGTACACTGAATGCTGAATCACACCTGTCGCCCACTCATCGCCGTCGCATCGTCCACCTATCGCCCCTTCTAAAAACCCACCTCACCACTGATCCATCTCATACCTCATGCACAGGGTATACTTCAAGAGTACCTCCATCTAACACCTGCACTACCAGTCTAGCCCACCAGACAGCAGGTACCAGTCCCATTCTCCTCCCTCCTTCCTCCCTCCTCCCTCTCCCTCCTCCTCCACCTCTCTTCACCTGCCTGCCTGCCTGCCTCCCTCTCCTCCACCTCCACCTCCCCTACCACCACCAAGAAGAGAGAGCTACCTACACACCACACTTACTACTCCCTCGTGTACCTTCTTCATACCATACCTGCCTACATTCTGCCTACTTTCCTACCTCCCCCTACCCCCCCCCCCCAACAAATCATATTCATTTCCCCAATAATTATCATCTCCCTCTCTGCCTCACTCCATTCATTCACTCCATTCATTCACTCCATTCAT